CTGACAAGCCCCTGGAGCATCTGTGACCACAGAGAAGTAGAAACCCAAATCAGAAAGACCTAACAGGTCTCGGACATTTGGGCAAGGGCATGTTGAAAAGTACGGCGTCATACAGATAATATGTTGAAGTTAGATTTAGCCAAAGAGAAATCTTCTTATTTGCTCAAAGGCAGAATATTTTATTTTATGGTTATTTTGGGGGAGACGGGGTCTCACCATGTTGCCTAGGCTGATCTCGAATTCCTGGGCTCAAGTGATCCTTCTGCCTCAGCCCAGAACATTTTATTTTATAAATGGAGGGCCTTAAATCAAATATATTTAGGGCATCTCTATCTGGTTTCCTTGGGCAACTTAATGTATGTTGTCTAAAGCTTGGGGCCGTGGATATAGCTCAGTGGCACAGCACTTGAGTTTGAGCCCCAGTACTAAAAAATAAAAAACAAAACAAAACCAAAAAACACACTTCATTGCTCATCTGCTTCCCACAAACATGCTGCTTCTCCTGTATTCCATCTCTGTGTTAGTGGAACTGCTTGGTGGTTAAGGTAGAAGCACAGGTGTCCTTCTTGATTCTCTCTCTTCCATCCCCATTCAGGCACCAGCTTTATGACCACTTCCTTTTCATTTCCCAGCCTGTCTTCTGTCCCTCTCGTCCTCTTTGCTATGGCTGGAATGACTTCCCAGCCTTGTTTGTTTGTTTGGTCTTTTTGAGACAGGGTCTCACTATGCAGTTCAGGCTGGCCTCGAACTCACAACAATCCTCCTGCCTCGGCCTCCTTAGTGCTAGGATTACAGGCGTGTGCCACCACTCCCGGCCTGTTTGTTTGTTTAGAGACAGACTGTGGTCTGTAGCTCAGGCTAGTTTTGAACTGACTTCATAGACCAGGCTGCCCTGAAACTTTCAACAATCCTCCTGCAAGTGCTGGGATAGTCCTACACCACCACACCTGGCTTCTTTTTCTTTTTCTCTTTATTTGAGACAGGGTTTTGTTAAATTGCCTAGGCTGGCCTGGAACTTGTGATCCTCCTGCCTTAGCCTCTGGAGTAGCTGAGATTACAGGCCTGTGTCACCGTATCCAGTGTGCACTTCTTAATCTAGGCTCCTTTCTGCCTACTCATTCTAAGCCTGTCACTCCTCTGTGTAAGAGTTCTCACAGCACCTGTGACTTTTGGGTTGAAAGTGAGCCTGTGGTCCAGCAGTGAGCGCCCTTCCCACTATGCGCCCCTCCTGAGTCCAGCTGACAGTTTTCAGCCCTGCAAGATGACTTGTGGTTCCCTGTAGAGATCATGACTTTTTGAAAGATGTATTTCCTCCCCGCTCGTTATTGAGCTCTTACTTGTTCTTACAGCCCTTCTCTGACTCAAGTTCTTTCCTGTTTGTCCTAGGGGCACCCTGCTTCCATCATTTTGTAGCCTCTGTGTCTGACACTCACTGGCACACAGGGTGTGCTCTGCACACACAAGCACACTGCAGCGTATGCTCTGCAGTACTTGTTGACAGAAAAAATGAGAGGTAACAGGCTTTAATTAATGTGGAGCGATAAATGAGCCATATTGGACTCTTCTGAGAATGGGTCTTGTTTTATTTTATTTATTTATTTATTTATTTTGTCTTTTTGAGACAGGGTCTTGTTATGCAGTTCAGACTGGCCTTGAACTCACTTTGTAGCCCAGGCTGCTCTCGAACTTGCAAAGATCCTCCTGCCTCAGCCTCCTGAGGGCTGGGATTACAGGCGTGCACCACCACGCCTGGCTGGGTCTTGTTTTAGACACTGGTCACCTGCTGGAAATGGTGGACAGCAAGAAAAGATGACCACAAAGCAGGGAAAGAGGCACTCAAGGGGCTGGGAGTTGCCTGCCTTGGATCATCATGCTGAAGACCAGTGGTGCTTTGGCCGGCTGCTGAATCTGTGACTCAGTTTCCCTATTTGTACAGAAGGGACATGAGTCTATAATAGGTAACTATTCAGGCTCATGTCCAACTCTGACAGTGAGCATCTTCTTTGCACTAAAGTTAAAAATCTAAGTAGGAAGAAGACTCCTAAGTAGGGCATTCTGAAGTGCAGTGAGAATTCTTTCCCTCCTCCTCATTTTATTGCAAGCTCCATGGGGGGAAAGACATTGTCTTTCAGCATTCAACAAAGATAGTTTGCATTTTAAAAATGAAGTAGAAAAGAATACAGGAAAACTACATTAATACAATATTATGTTTGAGGATTCCAATTCCCAAGCCTGGAAATCCACTCATCATTCCCTTGGCAGCCTTCCTTCCGCGCACCACCCATCCCCTTTGTAAGCTGCCCCTTTGTGCCAGCGCACGGCCTGGCCGTGGCCTGCAGTTCTGGGAGCCTGGGAGTCATTACCTGATCCTCCTGGCCCTTGAGTGTTTTAACTCCTCCAAGTTAATGCCTGTTCTTTAGTGGTACATTATCTTCTAGCAAGGTAGGCATTTATAATTTATAGACTGTGTGCTGGCTTAAAATAGAGACAAGAGGATAATCAGCATCCTGAAGCTTCCAGTTTTCCAAAATAACATTTCTTCAGCAAAGTCAGCCTGCAGGAATTAAAACTTGCCGTAAATTAAAAAACCCTTTGTCCAGTTGTCAGAGAGAGAGAAGCGGGCAGGTCTGTTATTCCACTTTATGAAAGGGGGACCAACTTTTAAAAATAAAACTCATTATTTTGTTTATTTTATTCTACTCAAAATAACCTCTAAAGCTTCTAGTCTTTGTGGTTAGTATTCCAGGGGTCCCATGGTAGTTAGAGAGAGGATGGCCAGAGTTCACAGGACAGACAGGATAAATGCCCCAGGGGGGCAGAAGCCAGCAGGTGCCTCAACCCCTTGTCTGCTGTGCCCTGCTACCTGGATTGCTGACTTTGCCAACACAGAGAAGGGATGTCTCTCCAGGTGAAGGCCTCAGAGATCACATTCATTTACATCTATTAAAAATAGAAGGTCTACTTGAAAACTCACGCATAGAGTCAAGTCAGTCACATATCAGAGGTCTAACTTATTTTTCCCTCTTGCTTTGTTTTTGTCTCTTCGAGACAGGGTCTCACTATGATGCAGTTCACACTGGCCTTGAGCTCACTTTGTAGCCCAGGCAGGCCTCGAACTCGCAACGATCCTCCTGCCTCAGCCTCTCGCGTGCTGGGATTACAGGCGTGCCCCACCATGCCTGGCTCCCTCTTGCTTTTATAACACTTTTTTAAATCTTACATTTTTTTGCCCATTTCTTTTCCTTATGTATCTTCAGTGTGCCTTGGGTGGAGACATCTCTTTCCCTCTTTCTTCTTTCCCCTTCACTTTGAACCCAAGGCTTCATATATGCTAGGCAAGCACTCCACCACTGAGCTATATTCCCACCCTTCAGCTTTAAATTTTTTTTAAAAATTTAATTTTTATTTTTATTAATATGTGTTCCTAGTACCTAATGTTTACATTCATCTTAGGGAGTATGTGCTTGTACTTAATTCTTTGGGCATAGGCATATGTACTTAATTCTTAATTCTTTTTTTTCTGCTTTCTCTTTCTTCCATCTCTAGATTCCTTTTCTCATTTGCCAAAGAGTGATCCATTTTCCTGTTGTCTTTTATTTTTATTTTTAAATTTTTTTATCTTTTATTTTTAAAATTACTTCTACTTTGGGTTTCTCATGTAACAAAAGTTATATGAAACTTAAGCTTGTGTCTGATTTCTTTCACTTAACATTATGGTCTCTAGGAGCTTCCATTCTCCTACAAATGACTTAAATGTATCCTTTACCCCACTCCCCTTTTAACTTGTTGTTATTTTGAGACAGGCCTTTGCTAAGTTGCCTAGCCTGGCCTCAAACTTGTGATCTTCCTGTCTAAAACTCCTGAGTAGCTGAGATTAGAGGCATGTACTACCATGCCTGGCTGCGCGGACATTTCTAATGAGAGCAGAAGAACAGGGGCTTCCCCAGTCTCATTTCTTCCCGTGTCTGGTGACCTTGCATTTGAATCTCAAGATTACTCTTACTGTGACCTTGGTTTCTGTGATGTGCCTTATTGCTCATAACTGTACCCAAGTGTATATTCCAGTGTCCCTCTGATACTTGGGGAGGGTTGGGGTTGGGAGGGGGCGGGCAGTAGTTGGGGTAGTGTGGGAAGAGCCTGAGTGATTTAAGGGGGAAGCCTCTAGGTGGCAACATTTGCTAAGCTGCGGTGCATCCTCTTCCTCTAATAAGATGTTGAACTTGCTTTTCCAGCTAAGATTAAATAGCTGAGAAAACAGTTTAGCAGCCATTGCTTCAGGTCCTTTAAAAGTGAGACTATAGGACAGATACAGCACAGTATATTGATGTCTGCTTCTCACTTGCATTTGGATACTGAGTTTGAAATTGCTCTGTGTGTGTGTGGCGGGGCGTGAATTGCTTCCCTTTGGCCCAGTTACGCGTCTGTGATAGGAGACACCTCTGATTGGACTGTCTGGTTTCTCATGGTTCTTTTTTTTCTTGGTTTATAATTTTGATTATAACTTCTCCTATATTTAAAAAAAACCTTACTAAAACCAGTCTTTAAGTTAAAAAAAGAAAGAAAACCACAAAGCTAGCTTTTTATCAAAAGGCAGAGTCATGATTCAAAAAAAAAAACAAAACAAAAGAATATCAACAAAATCTCAAAGGCGTTTGTGTTGGTGAAGCTGGTCATCTCCCTGGGTTAAATCAAGAGGCTTCGCTCTCCTAAATGAGGATGCTTATTTACCAGGTTTCCTAAATTAGAAGCTTTGGGGATATTAAGATTTGTAAGGAGCTGTCCAAGGGAGGTATTGTGTATGCTCTGCAGTGATTAAGCCATTAAGCTCTAATTGGTATTTTCCTACTCGTGGTTTGGTGTGGGAAGCTTTAAAATTATTTAGGAATTCAGCGCTCATCAGCCATCTTAGTATCAGTAGAGAGTGAGGAGGCAGTTTTGCGGGCGAGCGGATTATGCTTTTTTGCTCATAACATCGTTCTCTGTTGGTTGGTACATTACAGATGAAGTGGAAAGGGAAGGACCTGTTTGACTTGGTGTGTCGGACTCTGGGGCTGCGAGAAACCTGGTTCTTTGGACTGCAGTACACAATCAAGGACACCGTGGCCTGGCTCAAGATGGACAAGAAGGTTGGACTGGAGTTGTGTGAAACCGGCGGGGCAGGCGTGCGCTTTCCATCCCCCTCCCGCGCCAGCACACACCTAGCTTATTTGCTCATCACGGCAGCGTGGTAGGGAGGGTGGAAAGTTCCTCTGTCAAATCACGCAGAAAGCTGGTCCTGGAGCTGCTGCAGAGTTTTGTGCTCCTCACAGGTTTTCCTGGGCAAGCACAACTCACCAGTGTTAAACCCTTGCCACCCCTGACTTCTTCACCCATTTTGCTTCTGGTTTTATGCCCTTCAGTTTACTGACCAGCAGTCAGTCTTTATGGTTAAAAATGACTATTATCTTTTTTGGGGGGTTGATACCAGGAATTGAACTCAGGACCTCACGCTTGCCAGGCACACGCTGCACCCCTGGGCTATACCCCTGGCCCTGGGGCTTATGTTCTTTAGGGAATTTTTTTAGAAGTCTCTTTGAGAGCACCGTGGCCCAACTTGAATCAGTCATTAATGTGATCTAAGGAATAAAATGTGTGAGTGCCTGTGGTGAGGGGACAATGCCCATTCGGTCCTCAGGATTCTCTGGGGTTTCAGAGGCCCGTGAAGTCTGGGCTCCTGATCATCTTAATGTGCCTGGGAAATGGGTGTTGTCTAGAGGAGCCACCCTGCGTATGGGCTTCCATGTTCACAGAGACATGCTTACCTATTTACCTGCCCACCTAAGCATGAAGACATTTGGGGAGCAGGGCCATGAATTTTTATTAGCCACTCTGAAAAACACTTGAATTGCAAAGTAAGTGAATGTCTAACTCTTACCCAAACGATACCCCCTGCAATTGCCCACCTAATACCACGGTATTATCTACTGGATGGCATGACGAATAGTGACAGGAGGTGTCTCTTGCAAGTGTGACTCTAAGCTGAAATGTTCACATTGTGTTCACATGTATACATGCTAATCTCAGTCTTCATGTTGGAGTCCCTGCTGGTTGTAATTTCAAATGGTAATTCCCAGTGATCACCAACCTCTCAGCGCCGCGGAGTGGCAGTCGCAACAAGGGTGTCCTAGATTGGGATTATTTTTAATCTCCTGAGTACTCTTCAGCCCCAGGAATTAGACAGGAGCATGGAAAGTTATGTATCAAAGACAGAAAAACTTTGTTATCGTTTTATGATTCTCAGCAAAGTGAATTTTAAATCCTACCTGAGTGTTGGCCAAATGAGTATTAGATTGGGGGCATCAGGAGACGTAGACCCTGCTGCTCAAAGGAAATAAATTGTGACACATGTTAATGGAGCTTGGTAGCCTGTCACATGGCATGTTTATGTCCTGAAATGAAATTCACTCTGGAGAGCAGATGGTTCAAGCTTTTCAGGGGGTGGGTGGAATTGTTAGGAGATTAAAGGCAGTGGTTTTACTGACTGCACTGCAGGCATTTTGTGAGGCATCGCTGGAGGGTCCTAGAAACAAAGGTTACCCAGTGCACACGGTTCACTTCTGTTGCTCAGTTAAAATCTAGACAATGTCACAAAGATGTAGTTCCTACTCTCAGCTGTATTCCAGTTGGACCTACGCATTAGAGGTGGGCAGCAAGGATAAAGAATAAAGGAAGATTCTACTACTTCAGAGAAAAATCTTAAAAACTCTTCAATCTTCCAACAAAGGGTAGTGCCCAAGACTTTTGAGTTATACATTCTAGTTTTTAACTATTTTTGTGTCCTTGAGATCATTTGTGCCTTCTCCTTAGCTCTGCCTAACCCCGTGGGGATATTGATTGATTTGCTTGAGAAACCCTACATGAAGTGGATATTACCTCTTATTATGGATGGCTCTGAATGCTTCCAAGTGTAGAATCACAGCCTCTGGGAAATGTGAGAAAAGTAACGAGGAAAAAATTTTATACCTTCCCTGCAAAAGGTTTTTTGCTGCTAGCACACAAGGAAGAAAGGCCAATCCAGTGTGTGTGTCTTTTGCTCTACAATTCCACAGGTGCTGGACCATGATGTCTCAAAGGAAGAACCAGTCACCTTTCACTTCCTGGCCAAATTTTATCCTGAGAATGCCGAGGAGGAGCTGGTTCAGGAGAGCACACAACATTTATTCTTCTTGCAGGTATACCAACCTATGCTACCCTTCAAATTCTGAGAGAACCTGCCCAGGCACAGTTGCAGAGGCAGCGTGGGTGAACCTGGTGGTGTTGACCACAAACACTTCCACTTTGCAGAAAAGGTCTGCTTCTAGGTAGTCTGTCCCTTTGATTCTGTAATGGAAAAAAAAACAACCTTCAGAATAGAACTGAACCTGAGCCATGGGAATTGGTGTCAGATGCCAGGTGTGGTGACTCACACCTATAATCCTTGCATCACTTTTAAGACAAAAGATGTTGATGTAGAGGTATTTTTCTGAACTAACCCTCGGTATTCAGGTATAATTGCAGTGTTGGCACTTTGCAGTAAATAATTGGGCTGGGGTTGCAGTTTGGCACTAGGTCTCTGAAAGGTTTGCCATTACTGATCTAGGAAAACAGGGAGGAAAATTTTTTTTTTTTTTTTTGTCTTTTTGAGACAGGGTCTCCCCATGCAGTTCAGGCTGGCCTCGGGGCCCAGGCTGGCCTCGAACTCACAGCAGTCCTCCTGCTTCAGCCTCCTAAGTGCTGGGATTACAGGCATACACCACCACACCCAGCTCAGGAGGAGAATGGAAACTTTTGTCAGTTTTGCTTATGTGCTTACTGCTTGGTCAGAGCACTTCTCCAGTTTGGTGGCTAGGTGTGCTGATTGACACCACGGCTGCTTATGTGCCCAAAGGTGCTCCCTGTCAGTGATATATAAAAGATTGCAGCAGGGTCATTAACTACATGATTTCTCAGAAGTAGGTATGTAATCTGTCAACAGAGGCTTCATAATTAATTTCGAACCTCAGTATATCTTGTTCAGTAAATATTAAGAGAAATGCAGTAAGATCCCCTAAATAATTTCTTTTACAAAATAGACCAACACATTTATATAAACATAATGGCAATATATATATTTCTTTCCAAAATTTTCATGTCAAAGGGTAGCCCTTTCGATTTTTGTATGGTACGGTTTCTTTTTTGTTCCTTTGAAAAGAAGCCAGGGGATTTGAAAGTTGCATTGCTTCAAAACGCGTCAGGTTTCATTTTCACTGGAAGAATGTCAAATCAGCTTTAAAACCTGGGAAGAGTTTTTGTGTGTGACTGAAGCCACAAAGAGATCTCATGGGCCCCAGAACGTCTTAGTGTTATAGAAATGGCTTTCCTCTAAGCACTGGGGAGCCGTGCCTACCCTTCGTGGGACTCCGGCCTGATTCCCGTCACGCTGCAGTGTTAGGGTGTTTTTGTGACTGAGCAAGGCAGAATTTACTATTTTTTAAATCCGGTGGCTGTTGACACCTGTGAAGAGAGAGTTGGCTTTCCTGTCGTGTTTATGTCAGCGTGCCCCCACTTTATGCGGCTCCCTTGCCTCTGTCTGGAGCGCCACACACTGCACCATTCTAAGAAATTAAGTGCAATGAGATATGTTAATTCAACATTATGGCTTAGGAATTATATTTCCTGGACCTCACGTGTACTTAAAAGTTGAATCAATCAAATTTTATTGCTTCCTTTTTCCTTAGAGCAGCACATTGAAAGTGATGGCTTTTTTCTGCAGTCATAACTCAGTGGCCTTGGTGGCTTTTGTCTTGTGTATAGATTTCAAAGCAGACTCCATTTCCTGCAGTGCTGTGGGTGCTTGGCTGGGACCGAGTACTCACGACACTTCTCAAGTTCACAGCCCTCTATCACGGCCCAGCTGTCAGTCTCTGTTGTTACCATGAGGATCGTGTTTACTCTGCAGCCTTGACCGTGAAGGGAAGCAATGAGGAGCTTTTCGTTTCTTATTGTTTTATAGTACAGCGTTTCTCATGTGCTGGGCATGTGCTGCACCACTGGGCTATACCCCAGCCCCAAACGAGGGGCTCTTATGCGTCAGCATCTCAACGAAAGCTACTCCATGACTGAACTCTCAGCCGGGCTGCAGCAGTTAAAAAAAACCGTCCTCTTTGTCAGAAAATCATTAACAGGTTGCTTTGGCAGCTCTCATTTAGAACACCCTGCAGCCATCTGCTTTTTTTTTCTATTTGCATTTTTTATTTCATTGGTACATTTCAGATATACATAATGATAACATTCATCATAGAGAATTTGTACCTGTACATGATATATCTTGCTGCTGCTTCTTCCTCCTCTCTCCCACCTCCTTTTTCTTCTTCTTCTTCTTTTTCTTTTTCTTTTTGAGGCAGGGTCTTACTGTGTAGTACAGGCTGACCTTGAACTCACTTATGTAGCCCAAGCTGGCTTCAAACTCACAGTGATTCTCTTGCCTCAGTCTCCCAAGTACTGGGATACAGGCATGTGCCACCACACCCAGCTTGCTTCTTTTTTTCTCATTCCCCTCCCTTCTCTTCAACCCCTCTTCCCCTCCTTATTTACAAGAGCATTGTTTTCATTTTTTCCTTGTCCCTTCCTTCCTTTCCCCTTCCTCCCTCCCTTTTCCTTCTCATTTGAATGTTTTCTTCTTATTTCCCAATATTTATTACACATTTTGGTCCTTATTTACACTTTAGGTTTATCACAGTAGAGAAACAATGCAGTATTCAACATGTGTGTCCAATTTATTTCACTTGAGAATATGGTCTCAGTGTCCATTTAACTAGAAATGTCTCAAGCTTGTCCTTCTTTATGGCAGAGTAGTACTCCATTGTATAAAAAACTTGCATCTTCTTTATTCATTCATTGATTGGCTAGCATTTGGGTGTTTCCCAAGATTTAGCTCTTACAAACTGTGCTGCTATAAACTTGGGTGTGTGTATATTTCTGTGGTATGATGCTTTTAATTCTTTTGAGAGGATACCCAGAAGGGGAATGAGTAGCTGGGTCAAATGGAATCTCTAGTTTTAGTTTTTTGAGGAATCTCCACACTGATTTCCACAGTGGCTGTACCAGTCTACAGTCCCACTAACAGTGGAGAAGTGTTCCTTTTTCCCCACAGCCCCATTAGCATTTGTTACTGGTTGATGTCTTGATAATAGCCATTCTTTCTGGAGTGAGAAGGAATCTCATTGTTTTAATTTGCATCTCTTGAATGACCAGTGATGTTGAACATTTTTCATATATTTATTTGCCATTTGTACTTCATCTGAGAAGTGTGTATTCATCTCAGATACCCATTTTTGGATTGGGTCTTTAAATTTGGGGGGGGTCTGATTTTTTGGAGTTCTTTATATGTTTTAGATATTAGTCCTTTGTCTGAGGAACAGCTGGCAAAATTTTTTTGCACTCTGTGGGTTGTCTTTTCACTCTGTTGATTTTTTTGCTGAATAAAAGCTTTTTAATAAGATGAGATCCCAGTTGTTGAGTTTTTGTAATATTTCCTGTGCAATTGCGGTTGTGTTCATAAACTCTTTGCCTATACCTATGTCTTTAAGAGTTCTATCTATTCTATCTTCTAACAGATTTAGTGTTTCTGTTTTAATATTTAGGTATTTAATCCATTTCAGTTTTAGTTTACTGCATGATGGGAGACATGGGTCCTGTCTTAATCTTCTGCATGTGAAAAGTCAGTTCCAGTACTATTTGTTAAAGAATCTATCTTTCTTCCAGTGAAGGTGTTTGGCTTCTTTGTCAAAGATTAGGTGGCTGAGTATGTTTGGAGTTGTTTCTGCATTTTCAGATCTGCTCCACTGATCCTTGGGTCTGTTATTTTGCCAAGACCATGCTGTTTTTATAACAGTAGCTTTGTAGTATAATTTCAAGTCGAGGATTGTGACTTGCATTTTTTGCCCAGAACTGCTATCCTAAGTCTTTGCTATTCTAGGTCTCTTCTGGTTCTAAATGAATTTTAGGATTGTTTTCTCTAATTCTGTAAGATGTGCTATGGTATTTTAACTGGAATTTCATTAAAACTGTATACAATTTTTTTTTTTTTTCGTCTTTTTGAGACAAGATCTCGCTATGCAGTTCGGGCTGGCCTTGTGCTCACTTTGTAGTCCAGGCTGGCCTCAAACTCAAAACAATCCTCCTGACTCAGCCTCCTGAGTGCTAGGATTACAGGCGTGCACCACCATGCCCAGCTTGTATAACGATTTTGGAAGTATGGCCATTTTCACTATATTGGTTCTTCCTACTTAAGGACAAGGAATACCTTTCCATTTTCTGATATCCACTTTGATCTCCTTTTGCAGAGTACTGTAGTTTTCAACATGTAAAAGTCATTTACTTCCTTTGTTAGATTGATTTCTAGGTATTTTATTTGTTTGGATGCTACCGTGAAAGGTGTTGTTTCCCCCGATTTCTTTCTCAGTGAATTTATTACTTGTGTACAGGAATGCTATTGATTTTTGAGTGTTGACTTTGTACCCAGCAATACTACTAAATTTGGTTATTAAATCCAGAAGTCTTTTGGTGGAGTTTTTGGGATCTTCTGTGTAGAGTATCATATCATCTACAAATAATAGCAATTTAACTTCTTACAGCCATTCGCTTGGACTAGCCTGCGTGACTTACTTCCACAAGCACAGTGTCATGCTCCCTTGTTACCCCTTTCAGGTGAAAAAGCAGATTCTAGAGGAAAAGATCTACTGCCCTCCCGAGGCTTCAGTGCTCCTGGCTTCTTATGCCGTCCAGGCCAAGGTAGGTGCAAGAAAGAAAAGTACCTTCTTTCTGGATATTAACTGTCGAAGAATGGTTTCTATCTTCTGTTTATTTGGATTTTCTGGACTTCAGAAAGACCTTCCCCTCAAATTGAGATGTCATGGTACTGGTGTTCTGGGGGAATCTCCTGTCACCATCCCAACTCTTGTATAGTTGTGTGTCTGTGTGTACATGTACAAATGATAAGTGTATATCATTCTAATGAATTAGAATTCATTCTATATGAATTTATTCAGACTGATGAATTTTTTAATGAAATCTCATGTGCATATGATTTATTATATTCATCACACCAACATTATTTTATTAACCAGGATAAATGAATTTATGGTCTTTAATTATAGCCAAAAATGACTCTTTAGGTTAGAAGTCCGAGATCCTGGGAGGCTGGGGCAGGAGGATCAAGCCCAGCCTGGGCAACATAGGGATTTAGCAAGACTGTGTGTCAAAATAAAAAATAAAAAAAGAAGTGGGTCGAAGGCCCTGAGTCAGTCCCAGTTACTGCCAAAGAAAGAAGGCCCGGGTCCTTCTTTCAGACTCATGTTTTGAGAGCTGTCTGCCATGTGTCTGTAACCTCACTGTGCGCTTAGAGAAAGCTTGCCTCCTTCACTCCTGATGGGCTTGTGCCCTGTGCGTGTGACTCGACACTGCTGGTGCTGTTGAGCTGTTTGGCTAGTGGACAGTCACTCACTGTAGTTAAATGCAGACCAGAGAGGTGGTGGGAGAAGGACCCAGCACTGAGTCTTGTGCGCCTCCCCTCACCTCTTTTGCAGTACTGGGGACCCAACCCAGGGCTTCATATAGGCTAAGCAAGCACTCTACTGCTGAGCTACATTTCCAGTCCATTTTTTTTTGGCGGGGGCATCGGGTCTTACCATGCTGTCTAGTCGGACCTTGAACTGAAGAGCCTCCTGCAGAGCATCCTGAGTAGGTGTGGCCAGCGTGCATGGAGCCAGACCAGGTTAATTTATGTCCCTCAGGTTTCCGACCTAATGACATATCTCCTTTTCTTGGTCTCCCTGCTTCCTGCCTTTCACTGAAATATAAGAAGATGCCCCTAAAAAAATGAAACACTCTGATGACCTGTGATTGTAATAATTTCAGTTATTTTTCTTTTTCATTATGGGTATCAATAAAGCTATCTTCGTAGTATTAGAAAAACTAATAAAACCTTCTTCTTAGCTCACTTTTAGGTATGTTAGTACAATTTCAGGTCAAAGCAAGGAAGTAACTGATCTGACAGGTGTGTGTGATGGTGGAAGAACTATACATTGTACACACTGGTCAGACTTAATAGAAACACCAGGGTTGGGCCCAGGACATAGCTCAGTGGCACAGGGCATGCCTGGCAAGTGTGAGGTCCTGAGTTTGATTTCCGGAACCACTCCACCCCCTGGCCCCAAAAACAACAACCACAAAGAAACACCAGAGTCAACTTCATCATTTGATGAGTTGTCTAATATTTGCTGAGTATTCCCCAGGCCTGGGGTGGCGTTGTTTGTTGACTGTCATAGATTCAGGCCCTAAAGCAAGTGTCTACCCTCAGTAATTGTCCCATGATCGTTGGGGCAATCTTGGGTAAAGTTAGTGCGATAGAATTTATGGCTTTGGGATTGTATTTTGTGCCTCTCCTACTTCCCTGAAAAATGAGTAGTTGAGAAAATAGAAAATGGGACTTGGTTCAACTAAGACATATGCTTCACTTTAAGTTTTGATGAAGAATATTAGTAACAGGAAAAATGTGTCCTTTCAATCAGTATCTCCCTGACAGTGATGAAGCAGTCATTGTTACTTTCATTAAATACAGCACTTTCTGGCCCAGAGCCGTCCTTTTCACACACTCTCTCCCAGCTGAGAGGAGACCCAGGCTCTCAAGGATACTAGGGTACCTTAGTCTCAAAGGCTGTATTGTCTTTGTATGGATTTTGGGCCACAAATTCAAAGGCCACCTGTGGGGGGAAAAATCACTCTTCAGGGAAGCAGCAGATGTTTGCTTAAACAGATTTCACTTTAGGAAAGCCCTGCTAATTTGGAGATGAAAGTGATTCACAGATAGCATATGTAGTTCATATGGAGGAGGATGTTCTAACTATTTTTTCCAGTATAAATTTTAAGGATCTTACACATAAAGGTAATCTCTGGCTTTAAAAGTCTACATTTGGGAAACTAAGGCTTACTGTAACATGTTCCAACTTCTAGGACTGCTGGCTAATAGTACAATAATATTTCTGATTATAATATTAATAAAATCTTATGTGTTTAATAGTGTTATAACAAGAATATTTCATGTGATTCTTGGTGTAGTCTTTTCTGGAAGCCAAGGTAAGAGAGTTTATCCATTTTGCAGATGAAGGAATTTAAGGCTCAGAAAAGATCAGTGATTTGTTCAAAGTCACAATACTTTGATGTTAGTTCTATTTGTATGGAATGTATTACCCGCTTCTTTTTTTTGGTGGTGGTGGTGGTGGTGGTGGTGGTGTCGGGGATTGAACCCAGGGCCTCACGCATGCTAGACGAGTGTTCTAATTTACGTCCCTAGCTCTGTAGTACATTTCTTGATGCAGAGGATTTGAAAGAGAGTGGAATGGGAGAGTGGAACCAGGTTGGGACCTTGGCGTCCAGCCTTCCCGAATCAGCACTTTGCTCTTACCTGTCACCATCTAGTGAGAGGGAGTCGGTGGGAATCAAGAAATGCCTTTCATTGAGTTCCAGTTTCATTTTTATAATCACAGTAGGTCAAACTTTTCATTAAGTCATGCTGGTTCCTTCCATTCTCCAGCTTGTTTTCTTCCACAACTTTTTTTGAACAGAAAGGAACTTTAAAAGTATGGAGGGTAAAGGGAATTCAGCTCATTAACACATGGAATGTAATTATGTGCAAATGTAGTCATTACAGTATTTCAGCAGTTTGAACGACATAGACACAGTTAATTCTAAAGCATAAGGAAACAATTACCCTCAAAGTATAAATACAAATATTAATCACATGGTTCAGTTAACAGGAACCATATTTCTTCGATGGAGTTTGAGTTTCGCTGGAATTGAAAGTATGGGCAGGGTTTTTCTGTCCAGTCATGTGACACACAAAACCATCTTGCAATGTTTAAGCCACCTGTTGGATTTTATATTTACAATTTGGTGTTTGAAATGTGTTCTTATTTAAGATGACTCTGAGAGAGGAGAGTGGTGTGTAATTTATGAATCTTTTGGTTCTGCCAACCCTTCAGAGCAAAGCAAAGAATGGTGGGAGAAGAGGCTAAGTGTATCTTATACTCTTTCATGCGATCAGGGGCAGGATGACAAAGTGCAATTCAGTTAAGAAGTCAAGTACAAGTATAGGTAGAGTGGTAAGAGTTGAGACTGGAGGGATCCGCATGGAGCAGGTTGTGAAGGGTCTTTATCCTACGGGTGATGCCACACCGGTGAAGGGTGTGTAGTTTAGACTGAGCCTTTGGTAGCTGTGTGAAGGACAGATTGGAATGAAACATGTTTGGAAACAGGGAGCCTCCTTAGAAGGCCGAGGTAGCTGTCCAAGTGCGAGGCCGAGATTCACACCTCTGGTCCGGGAAGAGACTGACTTCAAAATGTCCAGGACGTAGAAATTGTTTAAATGGTGCTATACTGTACATAGCCTTTTTCTCCCCCTTGGGTATCTTTTTACAAATTTTTTTCTGCATTTAGCATCGATTTTGAGATGTGTCCATGTTGTATGTACAGATGTAGATCCTTGATTTTTAACTGCTGTATGGTAGCCACTCATAAGTAAACCTAGTTTATTCAGTTTCCTTCAGAGGGAGAGGTAGGTTGTTTCTACTTTGTCCCTTTTATAAATAGTGTTTTACTGAAGATCCTTTTATATGGCTCCTTGAGCACAGGTGCAAAAGTTTTTCTTTCTTTTTTTTTTTGGTTTTTCTCTGGTACCGGGAATCAAACTCACGACCTTGTGCTTGCCAGGCAGGCGCTGTGCTGCTGAGCTAAATCCCCAGCCCCCATAAGTTTTTCACATAAGGTAGATTTCTAGAAGTTGCCTTGCGGAATATTGACAAAAGATACATACCTAAGTATAAAAAAGCTCTTTAAGTGTATAGGAAAAATACAAAGCATATGAACAGGCATTTTATAGAAAATGAGAATGGCCTATAAATACAAAAATGATGTTGAGTCTCACTAGAAATCAGGAAAAAGAAAAATTAAAGCCACAATAGGGTCATATTTCATATTGATTGATTGATTTTTCTTTTTTTTTTTTGAGATAAGGTCTCACTATGTAGTTCAAGCTAACCTTGAACTCACTATGTAGCCCAGGCTGGCCTCAAATTTACACTGATCCTCCTGCCTCAGCCTCCTGAGTGCTGGGATTACTGGTGTGCACCACCATGCCCGGATAAGGTCATATTTTAAATGTAGAAGATTGGTAGGGGTTAAGGAATTGGATGCCCACATTGTTGGAGCTCATTTGCTTGCTGGAGGCACAATAAATTGACATAGCTCCACAGAGTACCCAGTGTGAAGGAGCCAGTTGAAAGGAAGAGAAATATCCAGGGACTCCCCAGTATTCCTTCTAGGTGGCTGCTCTGAGCTTTTAGTATATTCAGAATGTTGCATAGCCCTCAGTACTCTGTCATTCCAGGACACTTCCATCATCCCCCAAAGAGATCTCATACCCACTAGCAGTCACTCTTATTTTCTCCCTCCCTATCCTCTGGCATCCACTAACCTGCTTCCTGTCTCTGTGGACATGTCTGTTGTGGACATTTCATATAAATGGAATCATAATATGCTGCACATCACATGCTTTTCACTTAAGACCATTAGAAAACATAGCCCCCACCATTCTTTTTAACTGATGGAATATTTCATAGAAAAGGAAGACCATGATTATTTAAATATATCATTATTAGTGGCTATTTAGGATTTTTTTTTTTTTTTTTTTTTTCTTTTTGAGACAGGGTCTCAGTATGCAGTCCAGGCTGGCCTTGAGCTCACTTTGTAGCCCAGGCTGATCTCGAACTCGAACGATCCTCCTGCCTCAGCCTCCCGAGTGCTGGGATTACAGACATGTACCACCGTGCCTGGCAGGGTTTTTTTCATTCTGTTGTTTTTCTGTTGTTTAAGTAGATGCACTTAACATCTTCGTACAGTATATGCCTCTTTGAGCTTATATTAATATTTCCATATGATAAATACCAAGAAATGTCATCACTGAGTTGAAGGATAAGAATATTTAAAATCTAGTCAATGTAAAGTGAAATCATATAACATATGATGTTATTTATACAAAATGTATATATTAGGCAAATCCACAGAGGCAAAAGCAGATTAGTGGCAGGAGGAGGAAGAAATTAAAGAGTACAGGATTTTTTTGAGAGTGATGGAAATGTTCTGAATTAGATAGTGGTGATGATTGCATAACGTTCTGAATGTACCAAAAGCCATTGAATTATGCACTTAAGATGGTAAATTTTATGGATGTAAATTTTACCTCAAAAAATTTCAAATTATATGGCCAAAATGCCCTCCCAAAGTGTTGTCCTAATGTAACTTCCAGCAGCAATGTGTGATACCTATTTTTGCACATACTCTTCAGTGGTGGATACTATCAGTCTTTTAAATTTTTGCTACTCTTAATAGAAAAACAGATGTTAGAAAACTGCATTTGCTTGATTCCCGTCAGGGACAGGCATCTCTTCATAGTTCACTGGCCATTTGTATTTCTTTTCCCTGTGAACCAACTATTTGTGTTTGATCCTTTTTCTACTATATTGTTAATATTTTCTGACTGACTTATAGGAACTCCATTTATTATAGATATCAACCTTTTGTGCATTTTTACATATCAGGCTTGTTAGCATTTTCCTTTCTGTGTTTGTTGTAACTTTAAGAATGGCTTCTCCAGCCATTATTTTTATACATGCTCTTTATTTTGTTCTGGTATTTTAATGACTTTTCATTTATAGGTTTAACCCTTTAATCCATCTGGGGTTTAGTGACTATATGTGGTTGGGATCTATATTCTGTACATATACTAAGCAAATCCTATTCAAAGCATTTGACCTATTTTTCCATACATATAAACAGAAGAAATTACTTAATATCCAGAGGGAGCCTCCATTTAACTTGTGAATTCACTCCAAGGGCTGGATGTGGCCCAGTGGCAGAGTGCTTGCCTAGCATGTTTGAGGCTGTGGGTTCCGTCCCCAGGAGCACAGAAAGAGAGGGAAAAGGATAAAAAAAGGAAAAGAAAAGGAGAGAATAGGCTGCAGGAGTCCTTTAAATGGTGAGTCCCTTCTTGAATTTAAATTTAATTTGTTCATATTAGGGCTAGACCCAAGTTTTGTGGGGTCTGGAATTCATTACTGTAGGAGCTTCTTTTTAATGCAGAAATATCAAATTATGAGTATAAGATGAGGCTCAGGCCCAGCAAGGGCAGAGACCTGAAATCCAAGCTTCCTCAGAGTGAAAGTGCCCTGGATATAGTATCAGAATGCATCTGTTACATAAAAGGATGAGGACTAGCCATCACCATCTGTGGATTGGTCTGACTTTCTTTATATTTACCACTGCTACAACCTTAAAATCTTTTTTTTCTTCCTTTTTTTATACAGAGACATTTAAGAGGAGACACATACATCAAGGTGGCTTTAATGTTGTGAGTGGAGTTAGTTCAGTGGGGAAGTTCTTTGAGACAAGACTTCACTATCTCTGCATTGCTCAGGTGTAATATATTTGATCAGTGGAGTAGCTAGGTGCTTGGTATAATTTAATAATGGGGATCGTTAATCTTGCAAGCCTTGGGAACCTGAATTTACAACTTTAGCTTTGCATATCTGCTTACTTTTGCATTAAAGTTTGGTCGGCATTGTTAAAAGGTTTGCAGATGCAACTGAGAGTGCTTTTGCATCCTACCCCTCTGAAAACTAGGGAGGAAGACAGTGACCAGGGTCATCCCAAATAATGCAAAGGATACCAGTGTAATAACAATAGCTGACTTTCACCAGGAGACAGATGCTACTTCAGAGCTCTACTGTCAAGATCTCCATGTCTAGTGCTCTGCTTTGACAAACATGAAAATAGACTTGGAGATCTTTTGATATCTGGTTGTATATCTCGAAGATCATTTAAAAAAAACCTTGCATGTATTCTTTCATTTAATCCCTAGATGAGTCCTGTACGTGAATTACTGTTACCCCTATTTTACAGAAGAGACCACTGAGACCCAAAACTTTCCAGGGTCATATAGCTATTAAGTAAAAAGAGCTGGAGTAGAACCTTGAGCTGCCCACCCCCAGGGCCTCCCTCCTGAGCTATGCAGCTGCTTACCTCCAGGTACATGGTAAAGATCTGTACACTTGGAGCCTATAACATCTCTAGGCCTTTCAGAAGTAGGGAGGAATCAGGGTCCCCTCTACTTTTGTTTTGCTTTTCCAGTGTTGGGAATTGTTTTTGAGACATGGTCTTGCTGTGTAGTTTAGGCTGGCCTTGAACTCACTGTGTAGCACGGGCTGGCCTCAAACTCCTACTGATCCTCCTGCCTCAGCCTCCAGAGTGCTAGCATTACAGGCATGCACCACCACATGCAGCCAGTGTTGGGAGTTGAACTCAGGACCTTTGTCATGCTAGGCAGGTGCTCTGCCACTGAGCCACCCCCTAACCTCCTCTAGATTTTGAATATGGAAATGCCTAGACAGGGTTACAGAAATTTGGGACATATTTAAAAATTTAAGCTGGACAAATTCCTTTACCCCCCCAAAAAATACAGTTCTGCTACTTTAAAGATAATGATGACATTCATAAGAGATATTAATTCACAGAGCTTTTATTATCAGATTGGTGAGAGAATGAGGCACATTTTTTTTTTAAGAGTAGGAAGAATTTTTTGAGAGAAAGAAAGCTTCTGTCTGAGAGGGACAGAAGGAGGCCCAGAAAGTGGGTTCCCCTTCAACCCTTCTTCTCAAAGGTGTTTTATTGAGGAAAGCCACAAGCTGAGGTGGGTTCAGGGTGGAACAGAACTATAATCAATTAATAAGATTACAAGTACAGTTACTTAGGTAATATTGCTCTGGTGGGAAATCACAAGGTGGGCATGAGGTGGGATAAAATTATGGTCAACCAGTAAGAGTACCAGTATAGTCCCTGGGGTAATAGTGATTAAATGGGGTTCAAATGGGTGAATAAGTCACGTAGCAAGCACACATGTGATAGACAAAGATTTTCCTGGAAGGGATGGGGACGCACAATTTAAAGCTGATGGTGAATCTCTCCTTTTAATCCTGTGTCTGTGGCATGGCGGGCAAGTTCATTTGGAGAACACCAGAAACCTGCCGGTTTGGCAATGAGAAGGTGACCCAGTTTGGTGGGAATAGAGCCAACAACATTGTGCCTGGCATAAATGTTTACAGAAGATTATACTAAAATTACCAATCTTCCTTTGTTTCTGGTAAAAAGAAAAGCCACTGAATCAGTGCTGACTGATAAAAACACAGATTCTGATTTGCTATTTTGTGTGTTTCAGTTAGTCTCCCTTCAAACATTTTCCCCTCCCTCTCTGATGGTGCTAGGGATCAAACCCAGTGCTTTGCACTTGGTAGGCCAATGCTCTACGCTGAGCCACACTCCCAGCCTCATTCTTTCTTTCTTTTTTTTTGAGACAAAGTCTTGCTGTATAGTTCAGGCTGGCTCTGAACTCACTGTATAGCCCAGGCCGGCCTCGAACTCCATGATCCTCCTGCCTCAGCCTCCTGAGTACTGGGATTATAGATGTATGCCACCACATCCGGCCACATTCTTTCATTTATGATGATTTCCTCGTTAGAATTAAATTTTCTAGGGGAAAAAAAAGGAGTAATTTTTAAAATTAAAGAATAGATTTCTAAGTCATTATCTCTGGAAGAACAAATTAAAATGCAAGGATCATTTCCAGTCCCACTAGTGACTTGCTCTGCAGTTTTTGCAAAACCAGTTAACCTTTCTTTGTCTGCACAGTAGAAATGATAGTGTGGACATCACATTTTTCTAAAGCATTTTTCAAAGCTGTGAGTGAAAGGTATTAAAAATATTGCCTGCCTTCTTCCTGGTTCCCACCTAGCAATCCAGCTCCAATTACGTGCCACTTAGAAGCATTTGTAGGTAAGACTCTTATCACATGTTGTTTATCAGAACTTTCTTTCACAGTTGTGTTTTGTTGTTTCCATTCAAAAGCTAATGTTTTGGAAGTGACTGCTTTCTTTGAGGGTTAGAAAACATGACTACATTTCCATACAAATATCATATTCTTATTACCACATCACCCATCTATGCTTTAGGCGTTTTGCAACTCCTTCGTCGATATAATCAGCTTTGTATTTTCATTGAAGGATAACAAACTAGCAAGGTTTAAATCTTGACTTGTCATCAGAATTGAATTGCTCTCCAGAGCAAGGAGGAGGGAATGAGGCTGAGTTGAGCCTCGTTCAGAAGTGGCAGTAGTCTGGAATCTCAATGCCTGCTCTCCTGTCTTTTCCTTCCAGTATGGTGACTACGACCCCTCTCTGCACAAGCTGGGATTTTTGGCTCAAGAGGAATTGCTTCCAAAAAGGGTAAGAAGTTAAATTTGAGGGGAAACATAGCAGAGATGTGAGCCAAAAGAAACTAACTGAAGGACTTCAAGAAATGTTAGAAGTACGGTGCAAGCATATTTTCTTAAATATTTTGCGATAAATCTTGAGTGAAGGATACAAGATCTCTGTTAAGCATATTGAAAAGCAAAGGTTCATGGAGTTAATGTGGAGTTGCCAGGATGAGCTCGGCCTGTCAGTGTTTCTATAGTGTGGTGATTTCTTTAAAGATGATTGAGTGGCATTGATTCCCAGGGAGGCTCGTGGAGTGGCGTGTGTTCAGCCCAGACAATTGAGCTGTTTGCAGCAGCAAGGGGTGGATAGAGGAGATGAGGTAGGGGTGGGCCTTATGGTTTTTAATCCTCAATGTTGCTCATCTTATTCATGAGTCGTAGCAGCAGACCCTCCCTCCCTTTTGCTGCTTCTGATTTTATAGCCCCAGTCATCTGTCACTGGGTAGTAAAGAGCTGCTCCTCACCTCTCCGTGCCTTTACCCGTCCTTTGATGGCTGCTTTGGAGGGGGAAGGCCAGGGGGCAGAGAGCACCGCTGCACTGCTCGAGGTGGTCTCTGCGATGTACAGCTCAGTCAGGGAAGGAGTGCTGCTGCCAGCCCAGGGGTGCACCCTGGCCTAAGGACTCCTGCAGTTTCCAGGTTCCTCCTGCAATTGAATGGTGCTTGTTTACACACACAGGGATGGGTGTGTGACTCTCTCCCTGCGTGCAGCTTTTTAAAAATAGCTTGGCTGTTTTGTAAAAATGATGCATAATTATAAAAATGGCAAACAATACCCAAACTTACTTTGTGTGTGGGTTTTTTATTTTGCTCTCTTTTTGGGTAGGTGATAAATCTGTATCAGATGACTCCGGAAATGTGGGAGGAAAGAATTACTGCCTGGTATGCAGGGCACCGAGGCCGAGCCAGGTGAGGCTGCTTCATCCTGGGTTTACAATTCTTCATGGGGCTTTTTTTTCCCCTCTCCTTAAAGAACTACAAAAGTAGGACATGCTTGTTGAACAAAATGTAGTACGAAAATATATGGAAGAAAAAGGGAGAGCCGGAAGTAACATTGCTCTTCAGTTTCATGTGTATTCTTTGTCGGGTTCCTTAATATAAAACGGGCAAGTGTACTGCCTGTCAGGGTATACAGGCCTGTTGTACCTGCTGGTAATTTAATTTTAAGAATTCTATTTATATGGATATCCCACTGCTTTTGCATTCATTCCTCCATTGATGGCATTTGTATATGTAGGTTTTTCACTTTTACAAAAAATTTTGCAGTGCCCAATTTCACACTGTTACACAATTTTATGAGTAAGGGTCTGAGGATAGATGCTTTAAGGAGAGCTGTTGGCCAAGGCATGTGAGCATTTTGTGTTTTGAGAGGTGCCACCAAATTGGCTTCTAAAAGGTTATATCTGTTGGTACGTGTCCATCAGCAGTGTTATAAGAGTGTCTTCCCCACCCGAGTCTATCATCAGCATTTGTTTTTGTTGCTCTTTAATTTTTGTAAGCTACAGAGTGAGCATTCATATCTTATTATTAGCATTCCCCTGATGGCTTTAGGAATTGATCATCTTTGCATTAGCTTTCAATTTTTTTTCCTCTCTTCAAGTCAGCTTCCTACCACACACTTTTTAACTTTTAAAAGGGGATTTAGCTCAGCGGCACAGTGCCTGCCTGGCAAGCACGAGGTCGTGAGTTCTATTCCTGGTACCAGAAAAGATAAATAAATAAAGAAATAAACTAAAAAGTATAACTGCATGTCAAAAATTGGACAAATCATAAATATACTACTTAATCAGTTCTCACAAGGTCAAATACCACATAACCCTTGGGGAAGAAATAGCCCATGATCCTCTTCCTGCTACCTTTATCCCTAAAGCTAATGAGTTTCCTGATTTTTAATGTCATAGGCATTACCTATTTTATTTTATTTTATTTTTGCAGTGCTAGGAAGCAGGTTCAGGGACTTGCCCTAGGCAAGCACTCTACCACTGAGCTATACCTCCAGCCCAGCACTGCCCATTTTAAACTCTAGATAAATAAAATCAGTTTCTATTTTTTTGTGCCTTGCTTCTTTTCCTCAGCATCATATTAGGAGATTTAGGTTTGTGGCATGTGACATGTTTTCTCATTTTCATGCAGAATTCCACTGTATTAATATACCACAAATTATTTATTCATTCTACTACTGAAGGACACTTAGGTTATTCAGTTGTCTCCTGGTTTTTGCTGTTACAATAATGTCAAACCGTTCCCCAAAGTAATTGTACCAATTTACATCAGCAGTGTGTGTGATTTCTGGTTCCTCCACCTGCTTGCCAACACTTGGCGTTCTCTCAGGGTGAATTTTTAAAATCCATTTGAGAGCATTTTGAGATCAGAGAGAGAATGAAGAGGACAAGGTCATAGGAAAGCTTGAGTTAAAATATTTCAGTACTGTTACCTGTTTGGGAGTTTTCTGCAAGTCATGGCTACTTCAAGAGCTTGCTTACTTGGTTGATTGGTTGGTTGAAGTGCAAGGGTTGGAACCCAAGGTATCACATATGCTAACATGCTGTCTACCATGGAGCTGTACTCCTCGCCCCAAGAGCTTACATTTAATTTGACTTATAAATTGGTGACCTAAGTTGGGTTTTATAGCTCTGATACCTCTTACCCCCATTTCCAATAATACCCCAAGACATTAAATCAGGAAAGTAGCTGACAGGTAGCTTGCAGGGAGAATTGTTCATTACTAAAGTCTAAGTTAAGATATTACACAAACAGTTGTGATGGTGCATGCCTATACTTTGCTTGACTCATTTGAGACAGGTGTCACTATTTACCAAGGACAAAGTGTGAAACTGAAGCCAAGGGACGGCATAATTAATCTGTTTTCTTATTTTTACGGGAATGGGAAATTCTGCTTGTGTCTAATAGACTGGAGGCTGGGAAGTGCTTTGCCAGTGTCTTCTCTGGCTCATGTCTTCTACAGGTGTCACAGGCCCAGGAGAATGTAAGGGTCGGAATCCTCTGCTTGGCAGGTACTACCCCCCGACACACACCCTTGTCACTTAACTCCAGTGACAGTGTTTTCCATTCTCGTCACAGGGATGAAGCTGAAATGGAGTATTTGAAGATAGCTCAGGATCTGGAAATGTACGGTGTGAACTACTTTGCAATCCGGGTGTGTTGAAGCCTCCCTGAGTTCCCTGGCTGGCAAACAGACGTTGAACGAGGGTCAGCTGGCCAAATTGGGTTGCCCTTCACCCCAGGGTGGTAGGGTCTTTTGTGGTTCAGTGATATAGAACAAAAAAGGAAGGGGGAGGGGACTCATTTTCTATTTTTGGACCTCAAATTAGACCATAGGTAATTAAGTATCAGGTAAGCCTTGGGGGACTTCGTCCTCCAGCTCTCGGCAGAAACCTGTTAGAACACTGGGCGTTTAACATTTGATTGTCTCAGGTTCTATGCGATCTAGGGAGCACCTGGAAATAACTGTTTTTCCCCAGGGCCCATGGAGAGTAAAGCTGCTTTTATAGATTACTGATTTGTTTGGGTGGGATTCGTGTTCTCACTATGGGGCTAATTGGTTTTCTTTTCAGACCATTAATGGTCTGCTGTCCTCTGGGAACCCAGCGCTTCTTCAGAGAGGCATTTGTGTTCAGCTCATGTCTGCCCCTTTAGCATATCTTCCTCCCATGGGTGGGCTTGGTGCTCGATGTTGTATATAAGCAGGTTCCTCCAAAGGAATAAATGCAGTGTACCTAAGCATTTCATGGCTGGTGAAATGATTGGCCACAGCTGTCCACCTTTCTGATCACAGTTATGCTTTCCTTTTCTTTTTGGTGGTCCTACAACTTTTGCATTAAGTTTAGGTAAATGGAAACATTTTTTTTTTTTTTTTTTGTACTGGGAATCGAACTCAGGACCTTGCACAAACCAGGCAGGCGCTTGTGCTACTAAGCCATATTCTCAGCAACATTTTCCACATTCTAGAATAGCTTTCTTCATAATATGTTCATTTCCTATATACAGGTACAGTGGTACCTCAGTTTATGAACTTTATTTTTTTTTTATGATTTTGGGGAAGATAGCTGCATTTGTTTGTGTGGGGAAGATGGCCATGATCTTGTTTGTCACCAAATGGGGAGTTTATGAACAGAAGCAAAATTTTACTAAAAGCTTTTGTTTGTGAGCTGCATTGTTTGCAAACAGAAGTGTTCATGAGCCAAGGTATTACTGTATTTATGGATTACTTTGCATAAAAATATAGTCAAATGTTATTTCATATAGTAGACAAATTCCTAACAGATGTTCCATAGTAATACAGAGGTTGTTTTTAAAGTTTTGCGATTGTTTTGTTTCTTTAAGGTCAGACTAATTTAACGCATTTCTGTTGTTTTGTCAGCCTAATTCCTCTTGTCGCATATGACTACCACATAAATTCTAGAAAATTAGAGTTTTATAATCCTCAAAAGGATAAAAAAAACACAGTTTTTTATTAAAGAATATTCTATATCAGTCGGGTTAACATGTACTATTTGTGTGTTTCCTGTATTGAACAATAGACAAAGTTAAAGACTATTTTAGTGGCTTTTATGTTAGAAGTTCTGGGATTCCAGCATTAACGAAGGAAGGTATGTGCTTACAACAAGTTTTTAAGTTTAAATTTTTTTATTTAAATTTTTAACTGATACATAAAAACATAAAAATTGTACATATTAGCGGGGTGCCATGTGATTAAAGCAATTTAAAAGGGGATGCTTACAATCCCTCAATCCCTGTTTAATCTCTAGAAATGTCAGGGTCGTGATGATAGAAGGCAGAGGGGAGAATGCCCCTTTTAAAAAAATTTAAAGGAAACACAGTGTTAGCTTGTTTTCTAAAATGCACACTACAAGAGTACAAAGCCTCATTTCTGTTAACACGGTAGTTTTAAACCCTTTGCAGACAAGCATGGTTTGGTGACAGTGCCCAACTTCAGGTGTTAGAAGGCGTAAAGAGATTTATCTTGGAGTGCTTGCTTCTCCATCTGACACCTGCTGTTCGATTGGTACTTCTTGTCACAGTCCAAGCACCTTTTCTGCTTGCAGCTCTGTTTTCCCACCCTTGAGTCCTGGTTCAATTTTCTTGTTGTCAGCAAGGGGTTAGGAGCTGTGATGTCCTCATGTGGGGAGTTTCCTCCCACCCTAAAGCAAAGACTGGCAGATAGGTCTGTGAGGATGTGGCCACTGGTCTACGGATGAGTTAGTGATGTGGGATCCATGGCACTTGACTGCTGGCCACAACCACTGTCAGAGGCATAGCGTACATGTAATCTATCAACGTTTTTAAAAACTTTCCTGAGGTACAAATTGTATATAATTCATTTATATATATTTTTCCCATATTTAATTATTAAACATTTCAAACATACAGGAAAATTAAAAGAATTTTTCAGTGAATGCCTATATAACCAGATGCTGTAGTTAATATTTTAGTATATTGAAGTATAGCGTAGTGAGACTACATTAAGACTGTATTGTAACCTAAACCTGAGATCATCTAGTCCTATCACTTACAATTTTCTTTCTGGCAGTCCAACAACCTTTCTTTTCTTTTTCCTTTTTTTTTAAAAAGATTTTGGGGAACAAACGCAGGGCCTTACACGTACTAGCCAAGTGCTTTACCTCTAAGCACTACCCACAACCTTTCTTTTAACATAAATGCATAAACCTACAGTCTTTAACTCTGTGTCTATGAGACATTATTTAACCTGCTTATTTCATCAGCGGTAATAACACTTAGTTACCCTTCTTTAGCCACTGAGCCAGTGACAGAAGCCCCCAGTGACCCTTGTAAGTAATATACAAGTTACAAGAATGGTGCAGTTTTCCTCAGCCTGTCCCAATTCTGGAAGCTAGAAGCCTCTTGGGTCACAAGACAGCTGTGATTTCTGTTGGGACCTGTTGAAACTTGTCAGATATAACAGTGTGTGCCAGATTTTATGGAAAGTTGAACAAAATCTCCAGCCAAAGCTGACAACGGCTGCTCTTTATTGAATCTACAGAATAAAAAGGGCACAGAGCTGCTGCTTGGAGTGGATGCTCTGGGACTTCACATCTATGACCCTGAGAACAGGCTGACCCCTAAGATCTCCTTCCCGTGGAATGAAATCCGAAACATTTCATACAGCGACAAGGAGGTAGGACACGTCTGTACTGCAGATACTGCTGGGTAGCCCAGTGGCCTAGAGAAAGGTCTTTTCCCACCTCTCTCCCTTGCTGGAGCTCCCTAGCCAGGCCAGCTCCTTGTTATCTGTAAAAGTCCCTTAAATCCCAGGCTTTGAGATTTTGATTGTTGATTTTTAAAATATTTACAGAACAGTATTGGCATCCTTTTTTCAAAGGGCATTGTTAAGCCCCACTATTGACTAACAAAAAACTGGGAGGCTTAACCTGTCAGAGGTAAACCCTGAAGAACAACAAAAAAGATAAAAGAACATTTTCTTATTGCTTGACTATTTCCGGTAATAAATTCTCTTTGTATTTTAAATGCGGTCTGTATTGAGGCCTCTCTTGGTGTCCAGAGCTTGACACATGTGGAAAAATATACATGTGTGCACATACACGTGTGTGTATGTATCTTTTTCAGCAGTGGTAAATAAGGATATCATACTACATGCTGGGACCAGAATTTGAGAATAATTAAGTTTGAGTACTTTAGATTAATACTCGTAGAATTCAAATATTTCTCTGTGTAAGACTTTCCCCAAATCCGTAGTCCTGTGTTTACTCATTCATTTATTCATTTTCTTATAAATGGTACTGAGCCTTGTGCATGCTAGGCGATTACCCTACCACTGAGCTACGTACCCTAGCCCTTATGCATTCATTTTAAAGGAATTACTGGGCTTTGTGCTAGGGTTTATAGGGTAAACAAAGACAGAGATAAGCCCAATCCCAGCCTTCCAGGAAGTTATAGTCAAATAATGACTTGAGTGCTATGGTGAGTAAATGCAGTAGAAGAGGATGATGATGGTGATGAGGAAGAGAAGAAAGAGGATGGGAGGAGGAGAAAGAGAAAGAGGAAGAGAGAGTGCACTTGTGGCCTTTATTTAATTCATGTAAGAATCCCCTGCAAAGGCAGGGGCTGTGTTTTCAGTATCTGGGTTACACCAGGAAGTAGAAATGCAGCGGAATCCAGAGACTTGTATTTGATGGATGAGATAGCAGAGGCTGGGAGCCAGGGGTGGCTGATGGATGCCAGAGCCCCTGCTTTTCTGGGAGGGCCAGAGGCATAGGAGACAGATCTAGACTGCTGAGTGCCTCCCTGATGCCACATTCAAGGCACAGAGCGGGGAGTGAATACCAATGATAGCTTACGTTGTTGCCTCAGAACCCAAAACCCTAGGCAGATTTCCTGTTTTGCTCTTTCTTCATAGAAACTCAAGGGAAGGAACACCACGCCTTGGTTTCCAGTCCATGATTAAGATTTATGCAGCCATGCTTGATAAAGGCAATCGAGCTTCTTAATTCCAAACATTCTGACTTTGAACTTTTTAAAGTAGATAGTGCGGGAGATGAGCGTTTGGTAGTTCTGCTGTGAAGTACCTACATTGAAAGTGCTGCATGACTTACAGCTAAGATGTGCCACAGTGCAGTAGTTCTTCATCTCCCAATTTCATAAAGTCTATTTACTGTACAACACACATTTGTGCACTAAAAACTCCCCAAGTGCTCATTTTTCAGAGAATCCAGGGATTAAAATCTCCCCTAGTATGGCCTGACACAGCAAACTCTAATCTGCCCTCCCAGGGGCAGGGTACCATCATCTTCCATCATGTCAATAACTCATGCAGGAAACGGACCCCAAACTGCCTTGGCGTAATAGGAAATAGTCTTGGTAGTTAGGCAAGACAGCTGTGCTGTCAAAACAGAAATAGTTTATTTTAAATTATCCATTGATTCTTTGTATATGCCCTGGCATTGTGTGGAGCCTGTGGTTTCCCCACTACTTGTGGTTTCCTACTGACAGCTCTGGGGTTTGACAGCAAGGCCAGAAATAAGCTCATGAAATTCATAAATAGCAGCCTACACAAGCGCAGTACTGCTTCTAAGTTAGGTTGGCCAAAAACTGAATAAAGGATCATTTTCTGTGCTCAGTGTGCTAATCCCTTGTTGGACAATATGACAGGTGAAAGAAATACCCGAGAGTTTATCTTCCCCAACATATTTATATCTGCTAAGCCCGTCTTTTTGTTTGTTTGGTATTTTGGGTTGGGCGGGTGTTTTGCGATGCTGGGGTCAAACTTGAGGCTTCATCCGTGCTGAGCATGTGCTGTCCCACTGAGCTATCCCACCAGTCTGGTAATTCCTTTTTTTTTTTAGTTTGGGGATGGCTACACAAGTCTTTCTTAGGAATCAGTATGCTCCCCCCACCCCCAAATTAGGTACTTAATCCAGGGCCTTTGCCTTGAACTGTACCTCCAGCTTTTTATTTTTTTATTTTGAAAGTCTTGTTAAGTTACTGAGTTGCCTGTGTTAGAATCCGTCTGCCTCAGCCTCCCAGAGTGCTGGCGTTACAGGCATGCAGCACCATGTCCAGTTTCAGTATGCTACCCCCTCCAATTTTTTTTTTTATTATTATAACACATCATAATTACATTGGCTTGGGGGAGTTGGCACATGCATATAGCATATCTTGATCATTTCCACCTCCCCCCACCCTGATCCCCTTCCCTATCACCAGCATGCATTTTTTTAAAGCGTACTCTAGGATCTGTCTTGGATTCCAGGATCTGCCTGGTCCCCTCAGTAGTGGTAGAGAGTGGTGATCACATTTCTTCCTTCTAGGCTTTCCTGCCAAGAGTCTGGCTTCTCCTGCTGAGTTCTTCCTGCTCTGGCTTCTCCTACTGAGTTCCTGTCCTGTCTTCATCATTCATCTTTCTCTGTACTTTGACCCATTTTTATTTATGTTTTATTCCTGCTATTAACAGCTTTTATCAAATTATCCCACAATTAGAGACTGAGGCCACTGCCTGTATGCTGTCATACTAAATCTAAAGCCGTCTTTTATTCCTCAGCGTCACCCCCAGCCCACCCCTACCTCCCTCCCAGTCTAAGCCCACTGCATTTTTTTTTTTTTTTTTGGTCTTTTTGAGACAGGGTCTCACTATGCAGTTCAGGCTGGCCTTGAGCTCACTTTGTAGCCCAGGCTAGTCTCAAACTTGGAACGATCCTCCTGCCTCAGGCTCCCAAGTGCTGGGATTACAGGCGTGCACCATCATGCCCAGCTCAGCCCGCAGTATCATTAACACCAAAAAGCTAATAACGTCACACACAGCACACACACACACGCACAAACTCTGCCCCTTTCCCTTTCTCTACGTTACTGCTACTGCTTGCCTGCTCCAGAATACCCCACTACCTTTTAGCTGCTCTGTCACGATCTTTCCCCCACCCGCCTCTTTTGTTTTTGCCGTGCTGGGGATGGAACCCAAGGCCCTGTGCATGTGAGCGAGCCCTTTACCCCTGACCCACACCCCCAACCCTTGTCATTCTCATCTAACACCAGCTCTGGTCCCCTTCTACTTGTGCTGGACAAACATTTATGATGGACATTTGTGATGTGTGCCACCAATAAGACAGGAACGTATTGTGTCATTTTGAGTAACTGATGATTGTTAGTCTAATTCCTATGAGGTTATGAGCTTCCTGAAAGCAGGAGCTGTGCCTTCTCAGACTGTGTGGCCGTCCCAGTGTTGGCCTTAAGGGTAGACGTGACGGGTTCTGATTTCAGGTCAGCATACAGCCCCTCCTCACAGCCACCCAAGACAGCTTAGGATGCTGAGCCTCCACAGCCCCAGAGCCCGTACCCTCGACACACCTAATTCACAGACTTTGTGCCTGGGTACCAGGAAGCCAGGGCAAGGCAGCGTCATGCTGGTCTGTGCCCCCTGTGATGGCTGCTTTGTGGAATTTCTCAGTCGGTGGTAGCAGTGTAGGTTGTCACAGTGATACCATTTTCTGCTTCTTTTTTCAGTTTACTATTAAACCATTGGATAAGAAAATTGATGTCTTCAAATTTAACTCCTCAAAGCTTCGAGTTAATAAGCTGGTAAGTTGAAATCCTGGGTTTCATTACTGATAACTAGCTTTTCTGAAAAATTAAGTGCTACTTTTTATGAATATCAGAGTGACTTTTTTTTTTTTTCCTCTTTTCTTGTAGTATTGATAGTCAGATGCTCTACCACTGAGCTACACCTGTAGCCCTTTTCATCTGTCTATCTGTCTGGATTTGTTGTTGTTATTGTTTTGCCTTTTTCTTTTCTTTTCTTTTTTGTTTTGTTTGTTCTTCTACGTTTTTGGTGCTAAGGACTGAACGTAGGGCCTCACGCTTACAAGGCAAGTGCTCTACCACTGAGCTAAATCCTACCACCTACCTATTTATACTGTGGACTGAACTGAGGGTCTTCACACTGAACTATATCCCTAGCCCTTTTTATTTTTTATTTTGAGACTGAGAATTACTAAACCACTAAATTGCCTTGGCCGAGCTCCAAGTTGTGATCCTCCTGCCTCAGCCTTCCAGAGTGCTGGGATTACAGGTGTGCACAAGGCTAGCCTCAAATTTATCCTTCTGCCTCAGTCTCTCACGTAGCTAGGATTATACATGTATACCACCATGCCTGGCTTCAAAATGATGTATTGTAGGCTATAGAATGATAATACTCTTGGTACAGCTTTTTCTTTAGCTTAAAGTAGAGTCAAATCTAACTTTTTCCCCCCGATGCTGAGGATTGAACCCAACGCCTCATGCATCCCAGGCAAATATCCTACCACTGAATATTCTACCACTGAGTTATACCCCTAGCCCTCCTTGTCATACTGATTTATGGTTTTATAATTGCTATGAGTTTTTTTTTTTGGTACCAGGAATCGAACTCAGGACCTTGCACTTGCTAGGCAGGCGCTTGTGCTGCTGAGCTATATCCCCGGCCCAGTTTTTATACTTGCTAATGAAATTGAACATCTTTTTTTTTTTTTTTTTTTTGCTACTGGGATTAAACCTAGGGTCTCACACTGAACAGTGTTCCCAGGCTCTTTTTTTTTCTTTTTCTTTTTATAAATCTTGAGACAGGATATGAAGTTGCTCATTCTAGCCTTGAATTTGTGATCCTCATGCCTCAGCCTCCTGAATAGCTAGGATTAAAGGCCTGAGAAATTAGACCTGACAATCTGAGCATCTTTAGGTATATTTTCTGGTCAGTCTTATTTCCTGTCTGTTAGATGCTTGTTTCATGCCTTTTGGCTGTTATCCTCTTGGGTTTTTAATTTTTTTCTTCATTGGTTGTATCTTCTCCCAATGTACAGTTTTTCCTTTTATAATATCATGACAAACACATTTTAAAAATTTTAATGTGAACAAATATAAAAATCTTTTCTTTAACCATTTGTGCTTTTTGTGTCTTGGTATTTTTCCTTTTTCTGTGATTATAAAGATACTCTTCTTTATTCTCTAGTAAGTTTCAAGGGCTTCATCTTGTATTTAAGTCTAATTCTGGAGTCCATTTTTGTGTATGGTGTGAGAGAGGGATCCAACTTAGTTTTTTCTAGCCCAGGTTACTCAGTGAGCTTTCCTGTCCTCCCTGATCTACAGAGCCACATCTTGACTTAGGAGGGAAGGATGCATCTGGAAGACACGATAAAAGGTCTTCTCTTCCTCTGTTCACAAGTGAATTTTACTTCCCAGCTTCTCTTCATTTTGCATGTCTCCAGAGCTCAGAGCACTAGAGGCTGACAGTAGGGCTTTGGAATTTTACTCCCGTTCCTTCCTCAGCTTTGCTACTACCCACAAGGGTCCAAGAAGCTGTAGCGTGAGTTGGACTGAGAGGCAGCAAGGCATATTTGTGAGTGTAACATTGCTCCTTCTTCTGTGGCCACAGATTCTTCAACTTTGTATTGGGAACCATGACCTATTTATGAGGAGAAGGAAAGCCGATTCTTTGGAAGTTCAGCAGATGAAAACCCAGGCCAGGGAGGAGAAGGCTAGAAAGCAGGTAAGCAAGACCTTGTTTTAACTGATGGAGTCCCTGCTTGGTCAGTTGTGGCCTAGGAAGGAAGGGGGGTTGTGGGCCAGTAGAAATCATTTCGCCATGAATTTTATCCTGTTGGATCTTTCCTAGCTGATATCCAGCTGGTGGGATGTTAGCTGTGAAAGTGAGCAGTAAATTCTAATAGCATATCTAAAAGAAACATCTCCAGTCATTTCTACACGTAAATGAAGTTAAGTGTGATTAACACAGGTTTGGGATGCGGTAGCTAAGTATGCTTTCGTCTCTCCATACACTTAGCTGTCTTTCTCTTTGCATGCCCCCTTTACCTGGCCGTCTCCTTTTCTAATTAGATGGTGATGGAATAGATGGCGGCATTTCAGCGCTCGCTGCTGGAATGCTAATTAGACTCAGGCCACAGTTCCTCACTGCGGGTCAGGCTGGGCGCACACCACCTGCTGTGGGAGGTGCCAGGAGCACCTATCAGCAGACTGGAAGAGCTGCATCATTGTTTTCTGTTCATAGACCTGCTTTACTCACCAAAATCCACACACCTAATCTGGGCCTCACTGCTGAGAATATCAATTGTGTTTTGGGGTGAACTGCTAGATAGAGTAACAGCAGCCACGGTCGGCTGCCCTCAGGACTTGCAAGCTCAGAGGTGTAATAATTAGTTTGTGTGCTGCTGTCTGATTCGGGTACCCCGGAGAGGCTGACTTCCATCCCTGCGATTTACAGTGAGATGCCCAGTTTGATCCAGTCAGCCGTCAGCTCTCCATCTCTTTGCTTTCTGGGACAGTGGGCCATTGATGTGCTCTTTGGGGTGCTTTGGGATGACGGGATTGGTTTTATTGGAAACAGAAATGCTAGTGAGCCAGTGTGGGGTCATAGTGGCAACTTCAAGAAGAGCTCCCTTTGACATCTTTCTCAGTAGAGCAAAGCTCAGAACTGAGAGATCTGAAATTGTCAAGGAGCATGCAGGCCTCTGGGGCTTGGTAAAGAATAGCTGCACACCCGCTAGCCTGAACTGAACTGCCAATAGGGCAAGGGACACATCCATGGCATGTCAGCAGCTAGAGGTCAGGGGCTTCGTGGCCCAGTAGCACAGTGACCTTGGAGCTAGATCTGATACTAAGTATGTGACTCAGTTTTCTTATCTAGCAAGTGGCACTAATGATACCTCTTTGTCTCAGGTCAAAGATGTTATGCCTGAAGCTTGGGTCATTCTTGTTGTAAGTGATAAACTGCTTTGCAGATAGAAAAGTCTTTATTGTTGGAGTCAGATCTCAGAAAGTATAGCACTGGGAACTGAAGGGGGCTGCCTGGGGCTTTTTTCAAGAGCTGAATAATAGAGAGGGAAATAATGTAATGGAAATTATGGAACAAATTGGCCAAGCTTTTCATTGACCTGCAAGAGGAAAAGCAGAGCATTTATAGTATTTTATTGCTTGTCTGTGCATTATTCTTTAATGTTCCGATGCATTTTTTTTGGCTTCATATTTAGAAAAAGCAGCAGTCTTAGAAATCTGCTAGAGTTTGGAATAAGATTAAAGCAAAAAAGAAGTAATTAAATGTGCTTTCATTACTTAAGGCAGAAAATAGTGCAGTGGTCACTTGGTGGCTTCTGCTTTCTGAACTCAGTTAGTACCCTGGGATCACAGAGAATAGCGCTGTCCTAGGCGTGTTCCCCTTATTAAGCCCGGCAGGTGGCCCAATTAACACAGTGATCTAGAAGGCAAGGGAGACAGCAGGGACATGGCGGCACGGCTTTGGAATGTTGCCTTAAGAATGAGCGCTGTGTTCCCCGCCTGGCTCCAGAGTTGCCTCTGCGTGGGGCCCTGTGAGGTTGTGCTGCGGCTGCTGCAGCTTCCTCCCCTGTGAAAAACTGTGTGGGAGCCATTGATGCATCACACGTGGTTCCATCCTCTCCGTGGGATAGAGGCAGGAGTAGAGCTGTTGTGGATGAGATCAGAGATGTGTGAAGGGTCTGTGCAGATTAGAAGTGATGAGGCAGCTCATCTGACCAGATGAGAGAGCTGTCTGTGTACTGTGTCTCAGGGAGGAGAAACCTGCGTTGTGATCCGCCAGCCACAGGGCAAAGCTGTGTGAGGTTTCTAACCAACGTGGCGTTACAAGGTCACGGTTGCCATACACCTCGTGTAGGAGTGTTCCCTTCTGTCCAGGTGGATGCTGAACTTGGTGTTTTGTTCTTCATTCATTTGTCTATTCACTACTAGAATTTTTGCCAAGGAGCACAGCTTCCCCCTCTGAGGCTGGGTTAGAAGGCCAGAGGGTCATAGGCAACAGGAATGACCCAGGCTGCCAAAAGGGAAGGGAAAAGAAAGGCCCTGTAAGAGGAGGCTCTGCAGACTGGGTTTCTAGGGGGTTCTTAAAAGCACTGTGAGTCAGTGCCTACTCGTGTTCACTCCCAGATGGAACGGCAGCGCCTTGCTCGAGAGAAGCAGATGCGGGAGGAGGCTGAGCGCACGAGAGATGAACTGGAGAGGAGGCTGCTGCAGATGAAAGAAGAAGCAACAATGGCCAACGAAGCACTGGTGATTTCTGTAGTCAGGGTCCCAGGGCGTTATGTGGAGACTTCTGTAAATAAGCAACATTTGCTTTCAGTTGGAGACTGAGGCAGATAGATCATGAGTTCAAGGCCAGCCTGGGCAATTTGCTGAGATCCTGTCTCAAAATAAAAAGCAGTTGGGAATGTAGCACAATGGTAGAGCCACCCTGCTTCAATCCCCAGTACCATACACAAAAAGTGTCAGTGCTGGAGCTAGGGATGTAACTCACTGGTAGAGTGCTTGCCTACTATGTGTGAGGCCCCAGGTTTGATCCCTAGCACCACAAAACATCTGTGCTGACAAAAGCAGATTTAGGCATGTACAGCAAAATTCCACTTTGACCTTGGGGTTGCCTTTTTCTTTTGGTACCAGGAATTGAACTCAGGACCTTGTGCTTGCCAGGCAGGCGCTTGTGCCACTGAGCTAAATCCCTGGCCCTTTGGGGTTACTTTTAAAATGGTGCTTCTCAGCTCCAGTACTGCTGATGTCTGGGGCTTTCCTCTGTATTGAGGGATGGTTTGCAGTGTCCCTGGCCTCTGCCTGCTAGATGCCAGTAACATCACCTCATCCTTGGTGACATTCAGAATGTTGCCAGCCATGCCACAGGTCTCCAGGGGTGACAAACCTCCCTCTGGTTTTGAACCACCGATTTAAAGAGATGATGTTGTTTTTCTGCCTCATAAAACATTAGCCTCAGCTGAAGTGGGTGCTCACAGTGTTTTTTCCTAGTCTTCCTGGGTGAAGCCTCAAGAATCCTGCTTTTTAATAGTAGGGGGATTTGGCTTGTTGTCCGTTGCCACAGGTCCCTGAAAGTGACACTTAGTGACAAGGCCCAAGGAGTCTGAGCCTGCTACTTGCTGACCTACTTGTCTGAGGCCGGACCTGGATGGGAGATGGGCACTGCTAAGAGCATGCTTTCCTCCAGATGCGGTCAGAGGAGACGGCCGACCTGTTGGCGGAAAAGGCCCAGATCACTGAGGAGGAGGCCAAGCTCCTGGCACAGAAGGCCGCAGAGGCTGAGCAGGAAATGCAACGCATCAAGGCCACAGCCATTCGGACAGAGGAGGAGAAGCGCCTGATGGAGCAGAAGGTGCTGGAGGCCGAGGTGCTGGCGCTGAAGATGGCTGAGGAGTCGGAGAGAAGGTGAGGAGTTGCCCTGGGCACAGGGAGCCTAAGATCCTAATCGTGCCCCGAAGCAGAGCTGGACACAACCATCCTCAGGCTGTTCTCCACCCCCTGGGGTGAGGAGGCTCCTTCCATGCCGGGCCCTTAGGACTGGGACTGTTGGAAGGGCACGGAGTGCAGTTCTCTGGCCTCTATGCAAAGACCCCATCCTCCCATAGCCAAGTTTGCAGCAAAGCTGTTAAGCGCATCTTCAAACTGCTTTTAGCTAAGGAGATACAAAGAGGTTCTTTTGCATTTTTAAAAAATGCAGTTCCTTCCCCTTTTTTTATTTGGAGAGGATGTGAGAATACAGCAATTATTTACATGTAAGGAAAATTAGGTGCCAGCAGCCTTCCTGGCAGATGAGGGAAGGAAGCTGCGGTCCTCTTTGTGACCACGGTGCCCCAGCTCGTGACCAGGTTGAAGTACCAAATTGTTGTCTGTACTTTTCAGAGACTATTCTAAGGTCTGGATTGTTCTGGTCCTGCACCCTTCAGATAAACACTGGCACATTCCCCACAGCATCTGGTTCTATTGATTTAGAACACTTGAATTTGGCTTCTAGCAACTAAGGTGATTCACTGTAGTTTCCTCACCATTCTTTGCTTGTCATTCTGAGAATATGGTTTCCCTGATGTCTGTCCTGCCCAGGCCCCTTTCTCTATGTGGGTCACATCCTCTGTGAGTGATAAATGTTGGGCCAGGTGCCCATGTCCTAGGCCTTACGTGCCACTTCCAGTCCATGTCCCATAGGGCAAGGATCTGATTGGCCCTCAATGATCAGGTTTGTCTTTCTGCTCAAGCAAAGTGGGCCCTTTGTCTGAGGGTGCTTTACTTGGGAGTTATAAAGAACCCGCTCTTTTATATTCTGGCCTTTGTGGTCTAGTATAAGACTTTTGATCACTAGCACTTTCATTTGCCCAGCCCACTTTTATCCAGAAACAAACAGAAGAGAGCATTACCCCCTACCACCACCATCACCTATTGCAGAGGCTTTGTGTTTTTTGAAACAGCATCTTGGTATGTTGCTCAGGCTGGCCCCAAATTCCGGGGTTCAAATGATCCTCTGGCCTCAGCCTCCTGAGGACCTGGGACTGTAGGGGTGTACCACTGTGCACTGAAGCTTACACAGTTTCTTGTTTGGCTCTTGTTCCACCGGTTTCCCTGGTCTTCCAGTGTAGATTTACCAATTGAAATAAAATAATGCCTAGGAATACTGCTCTTGCTTCGGCAGTTCTGACTTTCTATAAATGTCCCTGCCCCACGGTCCTTGTCTGCCTTGTCAGGAGCCATCCTTGAGGTAAACCCAGCTGCCTTGGGACGGGGTGGGAGTGGGAATCACCTTTCTCTACCCAAGTTCTTCTATGAGACTGACATCTCATTTCTTTGTAGGGCCAAGGAGGCAGATCAGCTGAAGCAGGACCTGCAGGAAGCCCGAGAGGCAGAGCGAAGAGCCAAGCAGAAGCTCCTGGAAATTGCCACCAAGCCTACATACCCGGTGAGCCTGGGCAGGGGCTGCCAGCCCCCTGTGGCTGCTTTAGACCTGGTAACTTCCTGTCCTTCCCATTCCTTCCGTTCATCTGACAGTACCTTCAGGTTGACAGTTCCAGCAAAGCATGGCACACCCAATGGTGCAGAGCCTGCCAGGCACTGGGCAGAACATCCCTGGTCACCATTTAGCTTCAGCCTAGTCAGTTACCTCTCTGATTACCTAGGTAACAGGCAACAGAGCCTTTTCCAGCTCTCAAATATTTTTCTTATACCAAGTAATACAGTTTTAAATTATCCTCAGAAGAATTTGCTCTCTAGTCTCCTAATGCTTAGGTGAATATAATCTTCTACTATCAGTAGAAGTAGTATCAGATACTTCTACTATCTACCATAATTATAGTTCTGGGAAGGGACTGACGGTCTACCTCAAAGTGAATTATTGCTATAAAAGAACCACATTTCAACCTCCGTTTTGGGACAGGAAGACAGACTTCTGGTAAATGGGATCACAAAGTAAACAGAAACTGCTTTCCTTCCATTCCATTCTGCAAATGTTTTGTCCACTTAATGCCACACCATTGAAAATTTATATCCAGGCAGGTGTGCACAGGTGCCTAGAACACGGCCCAGCCTGGGGGTTAGGAAAGGCTGAGAATGGCCCCTGAGCTGACTCCTGAAGAGGAAGCAGGGACTAGCCAGGCAGGGAAGAGATGACAGGATGTTCTAGGCAAGGGCACAGATGCACCCTACAGCACAAACACATGGCCATTCATACACATGGCACAGACAGACACTACACATTCATGCACATGGCACAAACACACACACTGCACTTACACGCATATGACATACACAGGGCACAAGAGGTATAAAATACCCAGGGTATGAGCTGGAGAAATGTCAGCAGTTTACTATGCTGTGTGTCATGGTTGTCAGTTACTGGGTAACCGCACCCCAAGTCAAATGTGTGGCTCCCAATAACCATTTATTATGACCTCTCGCAGCATGGTGGGTTGATTGGGCTGATGTCCTCACCCAGGGCCTCTCAGGTAGTCGCAGACAGGCAAGAGCCAGGAATGGAATCCTCTGAGTGCTCAGCTGGATTGTGTGCCTGAGATGCATGTGTACATTTAAAACTTACATTGGAGCAAACTTCATGCACTGCTCTAACTTTGGTCTTCTTAGCAACAAATCCTGGAAGAGATCATCCATACCAGGTTTTAACCACATTCGGGCTGATGGCTAGATTGCGATGCATCTAACCGGTCCCTTGCAGATGAATATTTAGTCTGTTTTCTTTTATAATTTCGAACAAAACCACATTGAGCATCCCTGAATACAAATTTTTGCATATATGTTGTGTCCATATTGGTAGAGTAGATGATCATAAATAGAACTATGGGGTCAGATATTCCATTTTGATGCCCTTGAAAGACATAGTTGTACCAGTTTCTGCTCTCACCAGTGTTGCAGCAGCCAGTACTCATCCTTTCTGGAAGTTTTTATGAAGTATAACAGGGATACAGAGAAGTGCCCAAATTACAACTGTACAGCTTGCTGAATTTTCGCAGACAAAACATACCTATGTATTCAGCCCTTGATCAGAAAAATAAATTCATAGGGCCCCAGAAGCCCCTACTCAGCACCACTTCTGACACCCTTCAGATACCCTGCTTCAGGCCTTATTGTCCCATATGGAAGTTCTGAGGCTCCACCCCTTCCCAGACTCCACCTTAAACTCAGGGAAGGATCCAAGGATGAAAAAGAGGCCAACTCAGCCCTCAGGAAGTGTGGAGACAGCAGAAAGAAGACACAGCCTAAAGAGTCTTTACTGTGTAGAGTTAGGGCAAAGATCCACTACAGAGCCATGCAGTCTTAGGGGCCAGTGAAAGAAAGGGCAGCTTTCTGTCCGAAAGGGATCTGGAAAGGCTTTGGTGAGAGATCAAAGGGTTTGGGAAGGGTCTTACAAGAGGGATAGAGCTTAAGAGATGGGAAAGCACCACAGCTCAAGGAGTACTAAATACCACTTATGACTTAGTAGGGCAAATAATTAAAGGAACTGGGGAGGAGATTAGTACCATACTTTAGATGACCCTCTCTTCTGGGATGAGAAAGTCCCAAAACAAATCTAGTGACTTCATGCTGTGCTTCATCCTGGGCCCTGTCTTCCAAATTCAAGCCCCTTAGCGTGCTGGTGGAACCTTGCTGGTCCAGAGCCAGTCTCCTACCCACCTGGCCACACAGGGGCTGCAGATGACCAGCAGTCAGGCTCTTGGCCCAGCTTGTCACCATGCTTCTCACCTGGCACCCTTCTCCTTCTGACACATTCTCTGATTATAGCAGAAGCAGCATCTTTTCCTGCGTGTCCCCGCTGGCCCCCTTGGCCTGTTTGCTCCCTGGCTGCAGTGTCTGCCTTTTCTAACTGTGAATACATCTGTTTCCTGAACAAGACTTTGAATTGCTCAGAGCCAGAGACCCTGTCTTGTTGTCTGCATCCCCAGCTCCTAGTGCAGGAAGTGGGAGTTTGCTAAGTGAAAAAGTGAGTAGGAGTTTGTGTTTGATTTGACTGAGTGTAAGAAAGGTTAAATTTGTGGGAAGACAAGTAAATTGACTGGTTCGATCACAGTAGCTACCACAGACTGGGTACCTGTATGTTAGGGTTGTTAAGCTTTTGTCTCATTTAATTTCTACTGACTAGTAAATATTATACTGACATTGAAGGTAAGTTTTAGTGTTCCCTTTTTTGGGACTGTTTACCTGGGCAGCATGGAATGTGGAGGACATGTTCTTATAAACCCCGAATCTCCTAATTCTGAGCTTTCTCACTGACAGCCGGTGAACCCAATCCCAGCACCAATGCCTCCTGACATACCAAGCTTCAACCTCATCGGCGACAGCCTGTCTTTTGACTTCAAGGATACTGACATGAAGCGGCTTTCCATGGAAATAGAGAAAGAAAAGTATGTAGTCCCCTGTGGCCTGCTTGGGGAGCCGGGAACATGAGTGAATGAATCTGAGTCTGGGGACACGGGGAGTCGCGACAAAGGTCTGTTGCCAGCTCCTGCAAAGGTTTACTCAGTTATCACCCGTGGAAGGACAAGTTTCCTAATTAGAAATTAAAGATACTGCCTGGCAAGTGCAAGGTCCTGAATTCGATTCCTGGTACCAAAAAAAAAGATAACAGCTCAGCAGTCAGTTTTCTAGGATAAAAATGACATTTAATTGGTGACCTGGAGTTTATAGCAGCTCAGAACGCTGACTGAAGAATGGAGCTAGGTTCTTAGGCACCTCCCAGTCAGTCACACTGCTGCTGTTGCCATGTGCTACACTGCAGTTTCCTAGTCATGTTCCCTGAAAGCTGGGCTCAGTGGTGCTTCCTGTGTCTAGAACAGAGGTGAGACAGAAGGAGCTGGGGCTTGAGGCTGAGGAAGGCCGGTGGCCAGGTGGGATATCTGCTGCGTCGGACAGCCCTCAGCAGAGCCCCGGCTTGGCCTGGGCTGCCCTTATGGTCAGTGGAAGTATAACCAAGATGGCGAGAGTCCTACTGCAGAGGAAGGTGAAGCAAGGGTCCCCCCATTCCCAGAACCAGAGGGAGACTGGTTCCACAATCGGCAGAAAACAATCACAGTAGCTACCATGGACTAAGTGTTCCTATGTTAGAGTTTTTTAGCTTCTGTCTGATTTAATTCCTACGAATGAGCATTACACTGACATCTAAGGTAAGTTTTAGTGTTCCTTTTTTTCCCCCCCTGGACTGTACTGGAGATTGAACCAAAGGGCTTCAAACTGAGCTACATTAGTCCCTTTTATTCTTTCTATTTTGAGACAGGGTCTCCCTAAGTCACTAAGTTGCCAGGTTGGGCTCAAACTTGGGATCCTCCTACCTCAGCCTTCCAGAGTGCTGTGATCATAGGCAAGCCCCACCATGCCTAGCTTCAGTGTTTCTGTTTCATAAATGAGAACACAGACTTAGTTTACTGAGCTCACGCAACATCACACCAACGACAAAGAGCAGGCCAGGGCTCAAAACTTCTCTCCTTGTGTGATTACCTCAGGATAACTGTCTAGGAAAGTACCTCCTTGGAGTCCAGCCTAGGCCACCACAAGACAGGCTGTATTTCTCTCCAGGCCCTCATACTGAGGGCATAGACAAGAAGCTGGTGGCCTAAGCCACTTGTGGTAGTATCTTCTAAGTTCCTGTCATCTTCGTCAAGATGTGCATATGTATGTGGTTGTGATCATTGTGAGGCTACATCCTGTTCTGTGTCCTGCTTTGTTGTAGTTTATATTTTCTTATTGTTCTAGTGTGTTGAGAGTGCTATAACAAAATACCAGTGGCTAAGTGGCTTATAAGCAACAGATATTTATTTCTTGTGGTTCTGGATTGTAGAAATCCAAGATCAAAGCATTGTCAAACTCAGTCTGGTGAGAACCCTCATCCTGGTTCTTATGCAGTCCCTTCCTGCATTATTATCATATGAGCGAGGAGACTTCTGGGATCTCTTTCATAAGGACAACAATCTCATCATGAGATCCTTGAGTCTGTATGATCTAATCATCTTCTCCTCTGGATGCCTTCACATTGCTGATATAACTAGGGAGAGACAGATATTCAGCTCCTAGCACGCACTTCTTTTGCTCATGTTGTCAGAGTCCGTATCCTAGCCATGTTAATGCCTTCAGAAGTTTCCTTCATATTTGTGTTGGATTGTTTTCCCGGCCTTGCCCTTGTAGTCAGACACTTCAAAGGTAGATTCCAGATTGTCACCGTGATAGTTACTGTTGCTCAGTGTGTCTGCCTACAGGTAAGATGGGGCCTTTTCCTTCCTCGTGTTGGTTGAGTGAGCTTCTGTCATCTTAACGAGTTGAGGTTTGAGTACAAGTGGGAGTGTGGATGTGACCTGTCAGAAGAGATCATCTGAGTTACGGCTCCAAGGAGGGTCAAGACAAGGACGTTATTTTGGGTGCCAGGAGGTTCATTCCATGTGCTGTTTTGTATAGAACTAAAAGTTACCTATGCAAGTGGTATTCGTTGAGTACCCTGGGATTTTACAGAGGGCTTTCCTATACTTTCTTTAGTCCTGACCACAGTCCTGGGATCATTATCCTAATTTTACCAATGAGAAAAGATTCCTGGCAGTCAGGTGACCGTCCCAAGCTCCCACAGCCCATGAGTGGCCAATTGGAGATGTGAACCCAGGGCCCCAGCCACTGGCTCCCACACTGAGCACACGTGGGTCACAGAGCATCTTGACCATGCCGCAGTGCTGGCCTGAGCCCTGATGCACAGTGTCCTCTTGCCGTAGAGTGGAGTACATGGAGAAGAGCAAGCATCTACAGGAGCAGCTCAATGAGCTGAAGACGGAAATCGAGGCCTTGAAGCTGAAAGAGCGGGAGACGGCACTGGACATTCTGCACAATGAGAACTCGGACAGGGGCGGCACCAGTAGCAAGCACAATACGATTAAAAAGGTACTCAGAGTCTCCTGGCTTTTGCTGATCAGGACATTCATTAATGAAATGTGAGGTTGGCATCTGGTTTCCTCAGGAGCCGAATCATTAGACTGTTGTCATTTTTTACATGTACTTAGTTGGGGAAATTTTTCAGCTCCTGCCAGAAAGGAAATTTAATCTGCCAGTGACCATGAGCCCATTGGCTTGATGGAAATGGAGCTTGTGTTAAAAGCTCTGATGAGATAAATCCCTGCTAGAGCAGTTTTGGATCCATCATTGAGCACTAAAGTAGTTCTGCATTTAAGCCAAAGGGGGTGATGCCTAGGGAGCTGCCTTGCTTAATGTGAAGGCATAATGAAGAGGCTGCTGATAATGGTGTCCCCTCCAGTCTTCTTGTGGTTTGCTATGATTTTGTTTGTTCATTTTGTTTTTTCTTTTTTTTTTTCTGCAGTAATGAGGATTGAACCTAAGACCTCACACATACTAGACTACATCCCCAGTCCTTTTTTAAAAATTTATTTATTGTGACAAAGTCCCACTATCTAGCCCACACTGGCTATGAATTCTCCATGTAGCCCAGGCTGGCCTTGAGCTCACAATCCTCCTGCCTCAGTTTTCTAGGTGCTAGGATTATAGGTGTGTGCCATCATGCCTAGCTTCTACCCATTTTTTAAATTTTATTTTGAGAAAGTTATCTAGGCTGGCCTTGTACTTGAGATCCTCTTACCTCAATATTCCTACCATCATCACCACCATTAGCTGGCTTAGAAGCGTGTGCCATGACACACAGCTTCTTTTTGAGTTTTTAAGTGGCACAGACTATACCGTCTTGTTCTTGATTGAGAAACCAAATTTTATATTTATTTATTCATTTATTTATTTATTTTGTCTTTTTGAGATAGGGTCTCACTATGCAGTTCAGGCTGGCCTTGAACTTACTGTGTAACCCAGGCTGGTCTCAAATTCACAACGATCCTCCTGCCTCAGCCTCCTAAGTGCTGGAATTATAGGCGTATGCCCCCATGCCTGGCTAAGAAACCAAATTTTGAATTTCAAGCTTTTTTCATACTTCAGAGAAAGTATCTAGGGAAGCCTTAATTTTTTTTTTTTTTTTTTTAGACAGGGCCTCACTATGCAGTTCAGGCTGGCCTTGAGCTCATTATGTAGCCCAGGCTGGTCTCGAACTTGGAATGATCCTCCTGCCTCATCCTCCCAAGTGCTGAGATTACAGGCATGCACTCCTATGCCCTGCTGAAGCCTTAATTTTTTAAAAACTGAGTCTTCATTTATGAGGCTCAGGTATCCTACCTTTCCCTCCTGATATTTAAAGCTCTTGGCATTTTGGAGACTTAGCAGTTAAAGTTAAATTCTATACCCATTATTAGCCCACGAGTATGTGTCTTATTTGGGGAAAGTAGAAAGGTCTTTTCTGGCCAACCAAAGCTCTGCTTTTAGCTGATAGCCAGGGATCAGGTTATACCTGTAAAAGAGATGTTATTTAGATTGAATTTAGGTAATGATTGATAGGGTTCAGTTTTTACCCTTTACCTTAGTCTTTAAAATGGCCTCCTAGTGTAAGGGCTGTCTCTTTTCCGTGGCTAAGTTCTGACTGGAAACCCCAAGAAATCTGTGCCTCATTGCCCACTGCTGATGGTTACAGTAGGGAACCCCCACTTTTTTCTCGTGACTCTAGTTACAGTTGGCAGTGGGTGGAGAATTCCTTTTAATAGTGTAACTTAGAAGGAAAGGCATTCCCATGGTCTGTGTTCTTCTTAACCTCTGGCTTCTGTCATTTCCTGGATTTCCAAAACAAAGTTATTAGTTAGCAAAAGAGGGGTTAAACAGAGGCCTCCATTATTAAATGAAGGAATGAAACAATGACCGGGCCAGTGAGCTGTTCAGCCCGTGAGGGAGACGTTTCAAACCTCCTGCCCCCGCCCCTTGGTACCTGGGTGGCAGGAGCAACCTTCTCTTTGCTGCTGCTATTATGTGGTGAGTTGGGCCCTCAGCCTTTTGCGGCCCTCCTGAAAACTGGAGACATAATTTCAAGTCATAAAAGCAAACAAGTCACTCCTCACAATTTCAGGCCTGTCTAAGCATTTTGCAAATGGCACATGTGGCATTGTTGATATCACAGGGTGTGTTTTTGTTTTTCTTCATTTTATTTTGCTGGTTTAGCCTCAAGCCCAAGGCAGAAGACCTATCTGCATTTGAGTCCTCAAAGTAGGTTATTCCCAGGTACTCTGTCTGTGGTGATGGTCCTGCCCTCTGTGATACTAACCTGTGCATGAGCTTGCCTGTCCCTGTCCCCGGGCACGCTGCAGCATGCTTTGACTGAGCGCAGGCGTCCATCCTGCGGGGCCGTGCCAGCCTTCAAGGCCCACACGGCTGCCTCATGCTGAAGAGCATGTCACAGCCTGCAGGACTGGTTGTCGTTCCCATCTCGTGTTACTGTTGGGCTGGGAGAGGTCATGGCTTCTTGTCCAGCCAGGTCTGTCTAAGGGTCCTCTGTTTCGGTGGTGTACTCCTTAGATAAATAACCCTAGCATGGAAATGGGGTCAATTTGGGTGCTTTTAAGACTGGTGTCTCTCACTGAAGATCCACACCTGCTTTGGAATGGTGAGCTCTGCAGATCGGTGGTCACACCTGTCAACTTCAGATCACAGAAGGGCGGAGTTGCCAGGCGCACTCTTTTTCCCTGAGAGCTTTCCCGTGCTGTGCACACCCCTTTGTTTTTCCAGTACAGCAAACACAGAACACAGGGTCTCGTCTGAGAGAGCCTGCGTTTAGTGTCTGTTCCATTGCTCTTTAAAGCTCTCTGGGCTTCGGCTCAGTGTGGAGTGGTTCTGAGCAGCGCAATCACACACTGAGACAGGCCTGTCCTGGGCATGGGGGAGATGAATATTCAGGGTTGTTGAGTGATGAATGGAACCATTGCTGCGTATTGTTCCAACATGCCTGGACCCTGGAGAGAATTGATTCTGCCCATTAATACAATGACATCCACCTCTGCTTCTTGCCTAATCCCTAGTTGTTCCTCTGCCAGTGAACCCAGCACCATCTGACAGGAGTGTGGAGTGCATCGCTCGGAGTCCTCGCTGCAGTCAAGTAGGGGAAGCTCATTGGAAGCTTTCTACCAAAAATGAGATGTGGCATAGGATAGAATGTAGTTATTTATTTATTTTGGTTTTCTTTTGAGACAGGGTCTCGCTTTGAGCACAGGCTGGCCTTGAACTCACTATGAAGTTCAGCCTGGCCTCAAACTTGTGGTGATCCTTCTGCCTCAGCCTCCCAAGTGCTGGGATTAGAGGTGTGTATTCCTGGTTAAAATAGACTGCATTTATGGTCGTTATCCCGGTAAGAGAAGTTAGCTATTAAAGTCCCAAATAAGTCTTTAATTAGATAGGTTGGAGCTCTTCGTGATTCTGAGAATCCATGGCATGAGCCCCAGTTTGGGTGTGCTCTAAGCCCTGCGTGATTTAGCGGGCTCCTGTTCATTCAGCCCTTATGCCACCTTGTTATCGATACCCCGACACCGAGCAGTTGGTACTCGGAGCAGGGCAGTTACGAGCAGCTTCAGAATGGGCAAGCCGGGTAGTTTCCCCCAAGTGGTGGTCCCATGGCCCAGGGCAGTGTGCTGGGTCCGCCGTGGTTTCCTGGACTTCGTGGTTAACACCAGGGCGAGCAGAAATCCTGCTTTGTTCCAGCCTGTGCTATTACTTGTTCCCTGCGTAGGACTATACGGTGAGATGTGTTTCCCCTTCTTTCTTTTTCTAGTGGTACAGGATGTTCACCATCTTCAAGGTGCTAATTTTGAGTGTCAGTTCTCATTGAATTGTTTATTATAGAGAAATAGAGTTTCATTCTTTAGTCACATTGGTACAGCTCCTAGCTTATACAGTAACGGGCCACGTAAAACTTTTGGTCACTGGTAAACTGAGTATATAATGGTAGTCCTAGAAAATTGCATTACTTAGTGAGGTCACTGCCTTATTGTGTAAGCATACTCTGTTTTTTGAGACAGGGTCTCACTGTGTAGTGCAGGCTGGCCTTGAACTCATTTTTGTAGCCCAAGCTGGCCTTGAACTCATGGCGATCCTCCTGCCTTAGCCTCGAGAGTTCTGGATTACAGGGGCACGCCACCACACGTGGCTTCAACGACACGTTTCTTGCACCATGTGCCTGTTGTTAAGCAACATGTGACTATATATGGAGACATTCATTCATTCATTTATCCATTCACTCACTTCACTGTCTTTTCTCTTTTTTTTAGGTGGGGGAGGTCTGAGATAGGTCTTGCTATATAGTTCAGGCTGGCTTTGAACTCATTATATATTCCAAGCTAGCCTCAAACTTGTGGCAATCTTCCTGTCTCAGCCTCCCAAGTTCTGGAATTACAGGTGTGTGCCACTATGCCTGGCTTCCCTTCAGTGTCTTAATGTGTGAACTTGTGTTCAAAGCAAGTTGCTAGACTGTTTTTAATCAAGAATTCTCATTCATTAAAGGTTACTAAAAGCATGGACTTGGGTTTCAGTATATGATTGGCGTTCTCCCAGCATCAGCAGGTTAAACAGTGCTAGCATTTGCTGCACATGAAGTTTGACAGATGTTTCATTTTCTAAATTTTAGCAGTCCCTGTGGCCAGGACTGATGACAAGCCACCTGCTTGTGTGGGATGGTTCTGATGTCTTGTGGCTTCAGTCTGGGCCGATGTGAACCTAGCCAAAGAGAAGCGCCATTGCAACTTTGGAAGTGTGGATAGCTAGATGTTGAGGGCACAGCCCCATCTAGAACATCTGGAGATGAGAGCTACAGGAGCTGGTGGTGACCTGGAGAGTTTCCAGTGTCCTGCGCATTAATCAGGGTGCAGACCTGCCTGCATTGGATTTGTTTTATTATAATGGCTTTTGAGCGTAGATTCTTCAACAAAAGAATGGGTCTCCAACCTACTCCTGTATAGTCTACAAGTATTTCTCCCCTTGAACTCTCTGCTTCACCTAGAGGTTTGGTGTCTGATGTCTGAGCAGTTCCCGAGGAAACTGTGGAAAACCAAAGTTAATTCAAGGGGCAAACCCTTGGGTAACCACAGTCCCTTGGGAATGGCGAAGGGCAGAACTGTCTGGTTATCTGAGGTGCTGCTTCCTTTCTCTAAAGTTGTTGTTTTCTCTTAAGACTTAGTGTCCTCACCTATAAAAAGTGAATATAAACCGGCTATAGTGGCATGTGCCTGTAGTCCCGGCTACTTGGGAGGCTGAGGCAGGAAGATTGCAAGTTCAGGGCCAACCTGGATAACTTTGGAAGTTCCTTCCTTAAAAAACAAAACAGAGAGGGAAAGAGGGAGGGAGGGAGAGAGGAGGGAGAGGGAGAGAGAGAGAGAAGTGTATGTGACTCAGTGGTAGAGCACTTGCCTAGCATGTGTGAAACCCTGCGTTCAGTCCACAGCACCATGCAAAAGGGGGAGGTGAATAAAAACAGCCCCCCACGGTTGTGAGGTTAAATGAGGGGATGCACACGAAGCACTTGGCACAGTAAGGGTTTAACAATATAAAAAGAAACAAATCCACCTGTGAACCCATAGTAAGGGAGGAAGGAAGGCATCACGGGCTGCACTACATTAATGCACAGAGCTGGTAGTGAGCATGTTCCTTAATTGTATTAATTGCCATGTGATGGTGATGGAGACTTTCAAACGGCCAGAATGAGCTTTACTGGTTCCTTGAGTTTGCAAGGATATAGTTTTCTCCTCTTGCTAATTTACCTCCCCACATTTCCATTTTTCCCAGTTGATGATCAGTGCAAGACTGGTTTGACATTTGCATCTGAATCAGCAGCACCAGTGATCAAAAGCCACCCTGGGGGACCTGGATCTGTTTCATTCTCAGAGGGAAGGACATGTGTTCCTGGCTGGCATCTGAGCCTCTGAGGGAGGGGAGCAAGTCCAGCAGTCAGGAGGGGTGGGGGCACACAGAGCTCTTTGAGTTTGAGCATTTTGCCATCAGAGCCCTCATGCTGATGACAGCAGTGGTAGCCGGGTGTGGTTTAGCTATGTCACTGCACCCCGAAGGTGAAAATGTGGTCTAGGAGTTTGCCTGTGCCTGCTTCCAGGTTTTGCTGCTATCCCCTTTTAAGGCACTGATTTTAGTCTTCTGATCCTGAGCTGGTCCGAGTGCCAGCAAACAAGCCATCAATTTTGTGCCCATGGTCTCTGAGGGAGCACAGGATTGCAAAAGAAATCGACAGATGAGAAATCATGGGGGTCGTGGAATCTGGAAAGCTTGTTTCATTAGTAGATGGTTTGGACTGTGTCCAGCCATGGTTCCCACTGGTAGGAGAGTGGGGACGGCAGAGCTTTAACATTCATGGAATGCCCTGCCACCTCTCCTAGACCGGGAAGACATAAAAACCCAATGTCATCTCTAATTTCTGCCAAGTCCCCTTGGAGATGCAGGGCTGGCAAAGTGAAGCAGAACACTTTAGACACCCAGGGAAGTGATAAATCTCAGGGAGAGACTGAATATGCGTGAAAGGCATCTCCCACAATTAAAACAAGCGCCTGGAGCCTCCCTGGTGACCTCTGGTGTACATTGTCAGCCTCAAAGGCAGCTGCTAAAACAGTTTGTATTTAATACGGGGTTCGTATGTCCAGCCCTCCTTAAGATCCAGTGGGCTGAATGGATCTGCTTGCTCTGGAAACCAGGCTTCATCTGGTGGAACATCTTCAGCCATGACATAAAAGGTAGCACACTGGCTCCTGGCTCTGGAACCCTTCATTTGCATTTGAGAGGGGAGGGGAGGGGAGGGAAGGAAGAAGAGTGGGGAGTGGGATGGGAGCAGCAGCGAGGCCAGGCATGCACGCAGAATACCAGAAGGAACCGCAGTGGCCTCCAGAGTCTTCTTGACTCAGGCTCTGTGGAAGCACACTGAAGGCGTTGGGAGCCACCAGCTGGTCTTAGGAGTGCTCCCCTTGGATGTAATAGCTTGGGCTCCTTCCTGAAGGCCGTTCATCCCCATACTCAGTTTGTGGGTGTCTTGTGACTGTTGAGGGCTTACAGTTTCCTTGCTTGTTCGTGGCAGCTCTCTAGATAGAAGAGTCTATACTGGCCTCGTTTCCTGAAGGACTAGACCCAATCCTTGTTTTGTTGGGGAGACTTTACCCAGTCGAGCAGTTCTTTGGGAGGTTTCAAGCTTACAAACCCTGCGTTGCTGGCCTAAGATGTTTTATGACTTTTTGGAAGTG